TTTTATTTTGTTTAGATTTCTTTACTTGTATGAATCATGAAGCTAGTTCTTTTTATTTTTTATATTTACTTTTCTATATTTCGTTTGTAATATTATTCGATTTAAGTTTTGTACTTTTCGTTTAAAAATTATAATAAAAGATAAAGTCATAAGACTGTTTGCTCATAAATATAATCACCAAATATGGACTGTCCCAAATGTGTGATTATAAAGAGAATTGATTTTTCTTCTATTGGTGTTCGTAATAAGAAGAGTCTAATTGGTGTAAATTCAACATTAGCGGCAAGTGACCATTATGACTTTACAAAACTATCTCTTATCCCTTCAATTATTTTTTTTATTAATATTCTAACAACCATTGAAGATTTTTTCTATTATGAAAATGTATTTGTTTTATATAAAGACACTATTTTTCAACCTAGTAATGTAATTAGATATTCAACTGAATTTTTTAATACAATTCAATTGCATTATACTTTTATTCCACTTATTTTTTGTTTTTATACTGATGGTGATCCTGATTATCAAATTACATTTGGTTCAGTTTAAATTTTTCTTATTTGCTTATTTCTTTATGATGATCTTCTTATTGCATTACGTACTGCACCATTAGAGTTCTAAATGGATCAGATCAGGTCAGGTTAGGTTATATCAGATTATCTGTTTGATCTGACCTGAACTGAAACCTGAAAATTTTCAGGATTTATATTGTGCAAAACATTTTTTTGAAATATTGCGATTTAGTTTTTTATATTAAAATTGTATAAAAAGGTGAATCGCAATACCGCAACTAACTTTTTAAATATAAAATCGATATAAAAAAGTGAATTCCGATATCGCAATTCACTTTTTAAAAATGATATAAAAAAGATATCCCTATAAAAAGTATTTATATTTAAAATATAATTAAAAACTTTTTAAAATATATTTAAAATATACTTAAAATATATTTAATTTAAAAATTGCGAAATACTTATAATATACTTAAAATGTATTTAAAATTATCTTAAAATATATTTCTAATATATTTAATTTTTGTCCAAATACTTAAAATATACTTAAATTATATTTAAATTAAAATTTAAGTATATTATAGATATATTTTTTACATACTTAAAATATTCTTATAATATATTTTATAATATATTTTAATTATATTTTAAGTATTTAAAAAATATACTTATAATAATCTTATAATATACTTAAATTTTAATTTAAATATATTTTAAATATATTTTAAGTATATGGGCAAAAATTAAATATATTAGACATATATTTTAAGATAATTTTAAGTATATTTTAGATATATTAAAAATATATTATAAGTATTTTGCAATTTTTAAATTAAGTATATTTTAAATATATTTTAAGTATATTTTAAGTATAATACTTTTTATAGGGTATAAAAAAGTGAATTCTGATACCGCAATTCACTTTTTATATATATAAAATGATATAAAAAAGTGAATTCTGATACTGCAATTCACTTTTTATATATAAAAATGATATAAAAAAGTGAATTCCGATATTGCAATTCACTTTTTATATATAAAATCGATATAAAAAAGTGAATTCCAATATCACAATTCACTTTTATTATATAAAATCAATATAAAAAGTGAATTATAATACCATAACTCACTTATATAAAATTATAGTTTCAGGTCAACAGGTCATTCAGGTTATACTGATGTTACAACCTGAATTGATGCTGAATTGCAATTGCTAAACCTGATCTGAAAATTCAGGTCAACCTGTCAGGTTACCTGAATTTGGATAATCTGTTCAGAATTCTATGTATCATATCACAGCTAGGTAAACCCTGCAAAGCGAATTATATTTATTATTAATTTGGAACTTTAGGAAATTGCAATTATGAGAGAATCAATAAGCGCAGATTTGAAAGGGATTTTTTAAAAAGCTGATACATTAATGAAATTTGTGCTATTGCAAATAAAAATACAAATTTGAAAAATAGATTATATGATTGTATACTTAATATTTAACAAATGCTGCTAAGAGATTAGTATTGCATGAAAATCTTTTTCAATATTATGAACCAGTAAATAATCAAAACATTGACAATTTTTTTAAGATATTAATTTTTTTTAAAAAAAATATTAATTTTAAATTTTATTTATTCAATATTTGAATTATTAAACAAATTATCCTTGAGATTGATAAATTATTAAATATTTTTAAAACATCTGCTGACATTTTATCAAAGAAAAAGAATTTTCAAGTGTTTCTTAAAATGCATTGTAGAATTTGTTATTATTCATTTCAAGTAAGATTTTAAATGGATTAAATATAATTTTTTACATTTTTTATATATTAATTTAATTAAGTTTTTTTAATTAAAAAATACCATGACATGAATTGTGATATTTATAAACCAATTCAACTTTTTTTGCATACTTTTGAAAATATAGAATTTTTACTAGATTCTGTTTCATCAAATTGTAAATATATTTAATCAATTATTTAATAAATTTTGTTTTTAATTATAATTATTAAAATTTTTTTTTTTACAAATTTAACTAATACAGATTGTTATAAAAAATTTGAAACTGTATACCATACTGATATAGCTGAACAATTTCATTTTATGTTAATGATGGCTATAAAAAGTATAGAAAGAGTATCAGCAGCTGTTTTAACAAATACAAAAGTTTGTGATATTATTCAATACTTTCAATATAAAAAATTCTGATATCTTTATAGTAAAAAGGCTTTAACAGTAATACAAAAATCTCAATTTCAATATGTTATTGATGAATGGGATTATAATTGTGAATTATCTTTAGTACCCAAAGATCATGCATTATATAACATTTTATTTGTATGTAAAAAAATTACATGTGAATTACCAATAGAACTAGCATATATATTATTCATCATGAAAGAATCTTACACCCATATATTATTGGTATGGATATGATTAAGGATTGGTAGTAGATATTTTGATGCATATGACATCAAAATATAAATTTGTATTTCCTTTATATAGTATATGTCAAACTTCAAAAAAAAATTTTTTTAAAAGAATTGAAATCAAAACTAATAATTGAAAAAGAAAGAGAGATTTTTAATATTTTGTAATAAACAAACATATAATTGCAATAAAAATATACAATTTTATTACATATTAAAAATATATTTCTCATTATTTGAATTTCTTTCAGAAGTTATTAAATATAAAAATTTTGGTTAGAATAGAGATAATTCTGGCTAAAATTATATTTGTTCAACTTATATATTATTGTTCAATAATCCTTTTCCTCTCTTGTTGTAAGCTTATATATTATGTTAAACATACTTTTTAATTAATCCGGTCTTATCAGGTTTACGCAATATGCAATATATCGAACATTAATTATATTTGGGTAATTGTTGGTAATTACAGTATCTTATGCTACTGCAACATTTGAGCTATTATTTGACATAATAGCAACAAACTTTTTGGCTCCTACTTTATTGTTTGTACAAAAATTGAATGTTTTCTGTATTCTAAATTTAAGTTGTATAAAGATCACACAAATATTGAATATTTTCTATATCCTAAATTTAAGTTGTACAAAAATTGCATACTTTTAATATGTTATGAAAAACTTCATAGCTATTTTTATCCAAAAATCTGCAATAATTGTACAATTTTCACACGGACTTGAACAAATATTGTACAAAAATTGGATGATATTTTTTCATAGGGTATACATTAAGGATTTCTATTGATAAAATGCCAAAATAGTGAAATTTTGTTAAAACTATATGAAAGTCTTATTAAAAATTTTGGAGAAAATAAAACCTAACAAAATATATCAGCGAATTTATTTTATCACATATCATTTGCTATAACAAATTTATTATAGAAATGAAAAAATCTAATTTTCTAATTTATTTACTATGTTTGGCTGATATCTGCCAATATGATTTATTATAAATGCTAAAACTGCTGAAACCTTGTTAAAATTATAATAAAACTACAGTATAAAATCTTAGAAAAACTAATTTATATAAGATTTTTTTGAAGAGATTTAGGCAAGTAACCTACCTTAGTTATGAAACTCCACTCATTAATATTTGCTAATGCTAATGTAGTGAAAATTACCTGTGATAAGATTTAGCAATGCTCTTTTGAAAAAGTATTTAAATTTTATAGGCTAATAATTAGTTTTAATTAATATTTATTAAATTATATTGAGATCCAAAAATTTTTAATTTTAATAAATTTATTTGATAAATTTATATTGGATTCCAGACTATATACTGTATAATTTTATAAATTTATTAGCAGTTAGTAAAATTAATTTAATAAAGATTTAAAGCAGGTATTTTATGTAATATAATACAGGTTTATAAATATTAGATGACTTGTATAAAATTTTTATACATATATAGTTTTTTAACATATATATATAAATTGTTTATTGATTTGTATTAATATTTTTTTTTTATTTTTTGACTATTTCGGTAAAACAATATATTAATATTAGGACGTGATGGTTTTAATCGTGTAATTCAGCCAGTTAGCAATGCAACCAGAAACATAATGTATCGCTTGGTGTGAAAAATTTCTAATTAAACTTTTTTTTTAGAAATTCCTTTTTGGGGATTCATTGTGGATGATTGACGGAGTTCAAAAAAATTTCTTGAAGAGTTAAAATAATTAGACATAATTTAATTTTTTTATCCCATTTTTGCAGAGTTATTGTGATCAATGCATTATGAAGAAAACACTTGCATATTAAGCCAAACAAAAGGCTGCGGGCTTAAAAGACAGCCAATCATAAAAAGTGTGGCACGAGAATCCATATTATTGCTATATAAATAACTTTGGTCACTCCCCCCAAATTTTCGTTGATCAATCTTTGCCTATAATACCACACCCCGCGGTATTCTAGCCTTTGTAACTTCTAAAAAGCTTCGGTTCATCTCTCTCTACAACACGCAATTTACCACTTTACAAATATCTTTTTCTCTTTTTTTTAACAAACGAAATGGCACTTAAAAGAATCAACAAAGTAAGTTTATAGGATATTTGTAAAAAAAGAGAATTTTTTTTTGTTCATATTTTGTTCAGCGTTGACGTTGTCTTTATGGACTTGGTGGCTTTTTGCCGTCGTGCTCTTTCACTTTACAAATCCTTAAGTTTCGTTTTACGTAAATGAGATACCTTTAAGCAAAAGGATGTGTCAATAAACCGGATCAGGGCCTTGATTATGTTTTTTTCGTAGTATACACTTGGTCTTCTAACGAAGTCAAATACTACTAAATATATATACCAAAATATTGGTAACAATTAAGTTTTAGAATGTTTTTTTTTTAGTTTAATACCAAATATACATATGTTTTCGCATTTACATCCATAAAGTTTTAGCTTAAATATAAAATTATAATTTTCTTACAATTTTTTCAACTGCGGCAATAACACTCTAATTTATTCTTTTTTTTTTTTTTATTCTTGGCTATTTATATATTATTAGGAATTGCACGATTTAGGACGTGACCCACCGTCGTCTTGTAGTGCTGGTCCTATTGGGGATGACCTTTTCCACTGGCAAGCGACAATCATGGGTCCCGTAAGCAATTTTTCTCCATTCTTTTTATTGTGATTTCTAGTACAAAATAAATTATTAACTGTTATATTGTTTTCTTGCTTTTCTTGCTTTGGATCATTATATATTTCTCGAATAATTATTAATTATTTTAATTTGAATTAGTCCGACTCTCCATACTCTGGTGGGGTATTTTTCCTTGCCATTCATTTTCCCACAGATTATCCGTTTAAACCACCAAAGGTATATTTTTATATATACTTGTGCATATTTTTAAATGTGAATTTATTCTCACAATAACCATACTACATATAGGTAAACTTTACAACAAGAATCTACCATCCGAATATCAACAGTAATGGAAGTATATGCCTGGATATCCTAAGAGATCAATGGTCGCCAGCGCTTACCATTTCGAAAGGTAATTTATCTCATTTCGTTTGAAAGTTGTTGTTTTTTCTGAATATTAATCAATACTAAAAAATATTTTTTTTTCAAGTGCTCTTGTCAATTTGCTCAATGTTGACTGATCCAAACCCAGGTATATGGTATTTCAATGCCCACATCCCACACCTCTTGATTGTTATTGATTCCAATCTTTATTTCCTTTCTTTCAACGTTAGACGATCCGCTTGTACCTGAAATTGCTCACGTGTACAAGACTGATCGTACTCGCTATGAAGCAACTGCTCGAGAATGGACGCGCAAATATGCTAGTGAGTATAACTAATTATATGACCACCCGTGTTGGCATATTTTTTTTTTTTTTTTTTTTTTTTTGCATTTTGTTTACAATTTAATAAATTGTTATCACGCTATCACTGACAAAACAAAAAAAATTTAATTACAAAATATCAATATAAATTCAATATAAAAATTTTTTTTCGGTAATTTCTTCCTTTTCCCGTAAATTTTTTTTTACATTACATTAGTGTAATGGTAGCTTTAGGGGACGAATAGCCAAATTAGAACTTATGCTATAGGTTAATAATAATATGAATTAAATATATTAATGTACTATCTAAATTTTCTCACGTCTTCCTTTATGTCCCTCTGCGATTTATAGTATGAGATTTTTTATTTTCTGTTTTTGTGTTTGGTGACATATTTGGGATTTGATTCCATTTTTCCTTTCCTTTTATTATATTGTAACTTGTTGAATTAAATCTGAAGAAATTGTTCAGCTTTTTTAATTTTTTTTTTTACCCATTTTACAAAATAAAATTTTCACTTTATATAAAGCATCAAATAATATACAAGCAAAAATAGAGAAGGGTTTGAGAAACTTGATCTTGCTGCTACTTGCAGTAAAGAATTTCGGGAGATGTATCATAATTTGAATATATTTGTATAAAACTAGATATCAATAATTAAAGAAATTTATCAAAGAATTTATAAACAAACATTATACTGAATAATAATAATATATGCCCTCTGAAGGAAAATTGCAAACAAATATTCAATTTTTTTTTTTTGTGTATATATATATATATAATAAGAAAAGGTACATTTCTCTAATCAAAATTTTGTATATCTAGAGGCTAAATTGTAAGTTATAACTATTTGTACTAGGAGAAACAATAACCATCTAGTATAATGTAAAGGAATAAAAAAACCAAACCACATACGATATATAGTTATAATTGTTATTAAAGTCAGACAAAAAAACTGTACAATATAAAATATAAAAATTTTTAATTAATTTGACCTGAATCAAGGAAAAAGAAAGTGTAACGTTTTTTTTAAACAGAAAAACATTGAAGCTAAGCGAAAAGATTTAATCTATCCGTTTAATAAATAAAATGCCATTTACAAAAATTTGTAGGCTGAAATATGAGGTGTGAATAAAGAATGTATAATTTGAATTAGTCAGTAAACTGAAAAGTGTATAGTTGCTTTTAGTATAAATACCTGTTTATAAATGTGATGGTATTGTGAATTATGAAAATGATAATGTTTTAAAAACGAATGTTTTTTTTGTTTAAATGCCAATCGACGCGTATAGGTAATTATAAGTTAAATTGAAGAATTATTAGACATTGACCTTGTAGTATCCACTTTCCTCAAAACATATTCACCCATCCAAAATCGATTATAACATTAACAAGGTTGAGAACATGAGAACATACTTAGAAAAATGATTGAAAATATGTGACGTTGATTGTAGAAATAAATAAGAGTTTAAAATTATAATGCTCATAAAACGAGTAATAAAAGAAAGAAATAATTAAAACCAATATGTTATTAATAGGGATGAGAATGGGGAAAGATGAAGGATAATGAAAAATATAATATATATATATATATATATTTTTCAATTTAAGAGTTTCAGCATTGTTAAACTTCAGTATTTTCTGGTTTGGTTTGTTCTGTTGAACCATCATTATACTTTATGGTCTTAAACATAAAGTCAAAAAAGCGTTTTCCGTACCATTGTGGATGTACAGCAGATATGTACAGCTGAAAAAAAATTTTTTTTTATGAATTACTCAAATATTTATATAAACTGTCGAAAAATATATACGGTCAAAATTAAATAAACACCTTGTCGTCTTTTAATGATTTCCATGCATGTTCAACTTTCTTAACCGTATTATATGGTGTCAAAATATCGATAACTCCCAAGTAATAAATATAATTGGTGGGATTGTCATGTTCATCTGTTCCAGAAAAACCACCATCGTCCATGTAAAATCTACACTTACGGCGTCTAGCAAATTTAGAATTTGGAGTTTGGAGTTACGACAAAAGAAATTTATGAACAAGTACAAATAAATATTTAATCCAATTCTTACTCATTATGAGGATTTAGCACAAGCTTAGTAGTTGAAGGACCTAGCTTCGATGGCTCAGTTTCTCCTACAGCCTTACGTAATTTTGAAGCTTTACTTTCCCGCTTATGACTTGATGGAATACGCTCAATTTTCGTGGTATTTGGCTAGATAAAGAAAGGATTGTAGTTTTATAAAAAATGAAATATTCGGATATATTTAAATAGGCCTGAGTCTTGACATACCTGAAATACAAAGAAATCTTCTCGAACTTTGTCTTTATTACCACGAGAGGTATCATGCAAACCTACTAAAAGGCTATAATCCATAATATTCAGACGTTGAAGCAACTTTAAAAAAAATAAAAATAAAATATGGACAAATGTTGAACCAGAGAGAAAAGTGTTAATGTAAATTTTATAGACATAAACATGTAATAATTAAAACTTACTGCGACGTCTTTCTCAAGCTGTTCGACGAAAAGTTTACGTTTCTCGGGGCCAAGTTCCAGATGTCGCCCTCGTTTAATCCAATTCAAATCTTTAAGAACGGCGCGCGGATTCTTTGCCGCATCAGCTTCATTATATTCACGTCCCACTGTTGACCCCTAATAAAATAAAAACATCATACATTTGTATTTGAAGAACTTGTTATGAATAAAAGTATGAAGTACCTTCAAATCATAAGTTTCATGAATATCTCGATGCGGAGGAAATATATTATTCATTATTACAAAGTGAATTTTTTGTCCGCGTGGTAATTTCACTCTATGAAGTCCATAAAAGCGGGAAAGTAATGTATCTGGGTTGTTTCTTATGTGCTATAAAGATAATTCAATATAGTATGATAATTAAAAATAAGCTTAAATCTCAAATATCCAAAAATAGCTTTGACAAACCTCGTAATATTCCTTCAAAATCTTACGCAAAAATTTATGTTCGGTATGATGTATCGTTTTTATAATAAAACGATAATCTCGAGAAAAATAAAAGAAGCTTCCACTTTTACCCGGTGAACCCAACTCTGACAAAATATATTTACTCGTTAAAGAAACAAGATAATCCGCAGCATCAATGTGAAAAAATTCACGAAGACGACGGAAAACCCATGGAGCATAATCTTTGAATTTAAAGTCATATTTAGCTGAAGGTGTAAGTTCATTTCCCGTTCTGTATAAACATATGTTGGTTAATTTCAAAATATCCGTCAGTTAATTACGAATTTTTATAGGTAATTGTTTCTTACATATCAAATGAAAATTTATGTGCAGCCTTGAAATCAGAATCAACTAGTTCTCTATGCATTTTTGCATTACATCGGGATACCTTGAAAATTAATAGGATCAGCCTACAGACATTGACTTTCTGCAATTAATTAAATCAAATTAAACTTACGCCCACTCGAATACCCGTCAACATATTGTACATAAGAACATAGTTAACGTGATCTTCCCCGATTCTTGTACCAATCATGACCCCCTCGTCTAAATCATCTTTATCCTTTTCACGAGTTCTACGTTTTGATAATCTCCTTTTGACATTTTCTGCCATTTTTTGTGTCTCTTCGTCTAACGCGATATCCCCACCCAATCCGATTGCATTAAAAGTGTTCCTTCTTTTAAGCTTTCCTTCCTTCCTTCTATTTTCTATTAACGATATATTCTTTTTTGCTTTCCCTGCTGTAGTAGCTGAACGTTGAGGGACATTTTGATTTTGTTCATCTGTCAAAGCAGTCATGCTATTAGGTCTTGGTTTAGGAATCGGTGTAGTAAAACTTCGATTGGGTGTTCCTCTAGGCGTTTTTGGTTCGACAGAAATATCATTTTGCAAATCTGTATCGATTTCAAGTGTACTATCTAAACCATCGGAACTAGGTGACTTTGACGTAACTTCTACAGGAAAACTAACTGTTCTTTTTTCATCAGTAGTAGGCTTTATAGCTGATGGTTCGGAATGAGTTCTTAAAGGACTCTTTGCACGATTGTCTTTTGATGATATTTGCCCGGTAATATTTATAGTTTCTGTGATTATCTTACTTGATATATTTGGTGGCGACGAAGAATATATCGTTTGTATTTCGGTTGTTTGTGTGGTTGTAGTCATATTTAATGGCTCAACAACGTTATTAGGAGTAGTGTATCGTCTTTCAACTACTTGTGAATGTTTTTCGGACTTTTTCTCCACGACACTTTCAGTAATCCCTTTTAAGTTAAAAGGAATTTAAGTCTTGATATAAGATATTCAGGATATCAACAAAACGAAAAAAGACTACACAAACCTAGATGCTTTGACGTTGAGTTTTCACTCACTGCGGAAGCCATCATAGTTGCGACAAAAAAACTCTAATATGAAGTATTTGTCTCTTTTAACTTGTCTTTTTTTATTCCGTAGAGACTACCTAGTTATTACGTTGGTTAAGACGTCTAAAACGAGTATGGGAAAAGAAGATGAAAGCAATTAAAGATCACGAAAAAAGTTAACAATATAAAATTAAATTACAAGGAAAAAAAATATAAATAGAAATTAATGGTCAAACCTTTTCAACAAAAAATGAGTTGTAAAGTTAAAGAAAAGACGGGAGAGGGAGCGTAAAGTGTCAAGATAATATATAAAAGGAAAGATAAATTGCCGGTGTTGTAAAATAGTAGAGAGTTTTCTGTACTTCTGTTCTTATTAAAGAAGTAAATTAAGATGTTGTACTAACCGCAGTTGGTGTTAATTATATAAATATCTACATATTTTCCGCATCAGCGGCCAATCATATTGTCCGCGTACTTCCGGCAGCCATTTGAAACGGGAATAAATTCACGAAAGAAAAAATTTCATTTGACTGGTTACCAAATTACTGGATTTCTAAGGATCTGCATATCTTTCGACGCGAGCAATTCAAAGTTGGAGTTTTATAGTCAGAAAGATGGCTAATGTAGAATTTGAAAACAACTTTGATGACCTTATAAATAAGCCTTCAGGCAATACTATATCCGAAACTTTAAGTGAAATGGATGTTTCTAATCCATTTCATGATGTAATATCACCTTTGGTCGCATCGGAGGGATCCTCTGACACTAGAGTAATCGATCATAACACTTTAAATAGTCGTATAAACAAAAATGGTGTGCCTAGTTCAATAGACCCTTTAGAAAGCTCTCAAACTCTCTCCGATTATGATCCTCAAGCTTCAATATATTCTTCCAAACTTCTTGAAAGGGAATTCGAAGATGTAGACGTATCTTCCATAAAAGGAATAGATGCTGCTTCGTCAGCTTCCACTGAGAGCCATATTACTGAAAAAAGTAGCGGTGAAGAGTCCTTTGATGAGACTGCCACCAGAAGAGTTCATAATGATCGATTTTTAGCAAGTGTTGATAATTCGAGTAAGGTAAGAAGCCTGTGAGTTTGAATTGTACTGTAAACATGAATTCTAAATATTATTATTTTCTTAGACTGATGGCTCAATACCAACATTTAAAATCACGGTTGAAGACCCTCAAAAAATTGGTGATCCTATCAGTGCACATATAATTTATAGAGTCAGAACACGGGTACGAATTTTATTAGAACTATCAAGGGTAAATTTATTTATGATTTTATTTTAACTTATTGCATAATTAGACTACGTCTACGGCTTTCAGAAGTCGAGAATTTACTGTATTAAGACGATATCGCGATTTCTTATGGCTCTATAATCGGTTAACTCTTGGAAATCCTGGTGTCATTGTTCCTCCTATACCAGAAAAGCACGCTATTGGTATTTTCATTAAATAAGAGTAAAAAAATAAATTTTTCTTTAGCATATAAATTCTAATAATATTTTTTTTTTTAATTATCGCTAGGTCGGTTTCAAGATGAATTCGTGGAAAATCGACGCCAAGCTCTTGAAAAATGTTTGAATAGAATTACTTCTCATCCTAAATTATATCGTGATCCAGATTTAAAATTATTTTTGGAGTCTGACACTTTTACCATTGATGTAAGTATTAATTTTTTTTAAAAAAGAAAATATGTATTCTTTGCGAAGAATTTTAATAATTTTATTTAGGTTAAACGGAAAAATCAAGATGAATCTAAAGGCGTTTTAAAATCGCTAGGCGAGGCAATGTCGAATGCAGCTACTTTTAACAAATTTACTGAAACAGATGAAGTGAGTTATTAATTAACTTTTATAATTTTAAATTTTATCAACATTGATTGACAAGACATTAATTTCAGTGGTTTGAAAGTCGAAGAAATCAATTAGACATTCTAGAATCACAGCTGAAAACATTGCTAAAATCAGTTGAGGCAATAGTCAAACAACGCAAAGGTATTAATTTCATATTTCATTAGTTAATTAGATATAATGATATTAAATAAATATTGGTTATTTTAGATTTAGGTAGTGCAACAGTTGACTTTGGGAACAGTTTATTGTCCTTGGCTGGTGCTGAGCTGAACAAATCATTGGCCAGTAATATAACAATTTTAGGAAATTTACAGCAAAAAATCAAGGAGTTACATGAAAAACAGGTTTCTTGTTATTAATTTTAAAGCAAAAGATACATTGCAAATTGGAAAAAAAATTCCTAAAGCTTTTAATATCATATTAGGCACGTCAGGATGTCCTTACATTAGAAAATACTGTAGGAGAGTACATTCGTATAATTGCATCGATTAAAGTTCGTATATACTATTTTTTATTAATGAAGGTTTTATTTCTTTTTTCTTTTTCTTTTTTTTAAAAAATAATTTACATTTTTAAAAATTTAATAAAGGTTGCATTTAATTCACGCGCTAAAGTTCATCAGACGTGGCAAAATTCCATTTCCGATTTGCAAAAGAAAAAAGCCAATTATGAAAGATCAAAATCCCAAGGAAGATTCAGTCAAGATAGAATGCTAACTCAAATTGCTGAGGTATATATTTGCTTTGATTTTTATCCTTGAATAATTATTTCTTAAACAATTATATCCTAATCTTAGGCTGAGCATAAGGTTGAAGATTGTAAAAATGAGTTCGAGGAAGTATCTAAACTTATTAAAAATGAGTTAGATAGATTTGATAAGGAAAAAGTGGAGGATTTTAAAAATGGTGTTGAAGCTTTTTTAGAGTCAGTGGTTCAAACCCAAAAGGAGGTAAGTTAAAATGGTTATTTTTTATTATTTTGAGGATAAGCATTTTATATTTACATCTATTTATTCAGATAATTAGTTTATGGGAATCTTATTTCCAACAAATGGAAGCACAACAGAATTCTAATTTGGAAGATAGCTCCGCTGCAACATAATTTATTACTGTATTAGTATTTTATTAATTTATTAAATATAGGATTGTATATTTTGTTTTTGAGTGTGATTGTATTAAAATAATAATTTTTTTTTTAAAAAGAAAGAATTCATAGAACTTAAATAAATCTGTACAATAGATATTGTAGTAATTTGAATAAGCAAATCAAAAAATTAAACCTCCATTTTTAATTAAAGATTATCCATTTGTTGCATTTTTTGTTGACTTCTTTTTAGTTTTCGTTCGGCGTCTTTTTTTACCTGAATCAAATGCAGCCGCTTGTTCCAAACTACGTCCTAAATTATCTAATTCCTTTACTTTGTAAATTCTTACAATCCAATTTTCAGTCGTGTAAGCTTCTTCAAGTGTACTTAATTTAATTTTTTCAGAAGGTAATCGAGCACCTCTAACGCGATCCTGACCTTGTCCACCAAAAAGTTCATTATAATTATGATAACTCATTTTATACATTATACTGTTACGCATTGTTGGAGTAGCTTCATCATCTACTCTATATTCACCACGAGAAGTAAAAAAATTTGCTTCTATTACTTCATCGGGATAAACACCTTCGGCAATCCTTATCATCCAAAGAAATTTATTAATATCATCACCTGAATAGCCCAATAGCCCACCAAAAATAACTAAAACGTAATTAACGTCATGTCTTCTCATAATTTGATAAGCAACTTCTTCAGAAGAAGCCATAGCTTTTCCAACTGTAGCAATATGAGTATTATTCCAAGTATTATTATCTACTAAAGTAGTACGATCTGCCATACCAGCAATTTGATATCCATAATCCCACCAAGACATCACTTTTGAGTTATAATCGGTATTTTTTCTAAGCCAATAATAAGCTTCTCTAAAATCATCAATAATAAATTGTGTTCCATCAGGATGACTTGATGCAAGAACAATTGATGGTGACGAATATGCATTAGATGTAACCCAAGTACAGTGCCAAACAAAAATGACCAAAAAGAAATAGAAATTAATAAGAACTATAGCACGAGTATCAAAGCCCTTAATTCCAAATGATTTAGACTGGTTGAGTGATGAACGAGATCCACCTTCTTTAGGCTTTTTATGTTTTCCTTTGATATCTGATTCTGATCTATCTACTGATCGATCCGTTTCCAAATTACTTATGTCAAGATATAAATCCAATAAACGTGAAACAGCAACAGCTGCTGTTACGCATACAATCGGCGTCAATGTTAACATCAAACGAACCATAACACCAGCAAAGTATGATGCAGTAATTCCATACAAAATTACAAAAACGTGTTCGTCTCTTAGTTCGCGGAAACATAAATATATTCCAACAGGAAAAAGGAAAATAAGCATTTCCAAATCAAAAAAGAAAGAAGGCCATGCAGTTGGTTGATGTTCTGAAACTGATGCAATAATTGGTATGTATTTCTTTGCATATCCTGTATCCCATAAAGAATAAAAACGGCCAGTCCATGGTGCAATGTATCCACCCAGAGTTAATAATACCAAAGCAGAAAACATGGCAACGAATGAAAAAACAATAAAACTTTTGAATAAAATCTTTGAAGCAAGATGAGTTCTTACAAGTTCCACAAAAGCAATTATTTGTAATATACCAAATATACCTTTGAAATACAAATATTTTTAGTTTTTAAATATAAAGATTAAAAGACGTAAAAGAGAAATATATGAAAAGAAATGGTTTACCCAAAGCTGCCATATGTTCACTTGTTCGAGTGGGCTGGAACCCAACGAATGGAATTTGCATTGACATTAATGTACCAAGAACATAAAAAGATGAATATGCTACATATAGTCTAGATGAAAATCTTCCCATTAATATTAACACAAATGCATGAAGGGGAATTAAATTGATTATAAAAACATAACCACCTGTAAAGAATAAGATGAAATCAATATAAATGGGAAATAACTTGAAAAAATATCGTTTTTTAGTCTTAATAATTACCCCATGCAGCTACCATATAAAAATAAAATAACGCGGTTAAAGCACCATAAAAAGCAGATCCTTCCTTAAGCCCTTTAATCCATAGATAAAATGTGAACATAAGCAAAAATATTGCTATGCCTTCATTGTCATAAGAACCAGCAACGGATCGCGAAATGTAACCCGGAGCTACGCCAATAAAAGCAGCGGCCAAAAGACCAGCTGAGGAGTCTTTTATTTCAGCTGTTAAAAGATATGCTGATATGGCAGTAAAGGCTGAAAATGCTGGAGCGAGCAAGACACAGATATTACGAATATCTACAGGAAAATTAAGCGCATGGAGAATGTTGTAGATGGTAGCCGAAGTTACCATCAAACCTGGAAAAACAGTTCCCCCTACAACACGACCTAATGGATACCATGAACGCTCGTCGAACCAATTCCAAAACTCATAAAAAGAGGTTGAAACTAGATATCGCGTTGCTCTGTAATTAAACCAAGGATCAAACTCGTGAATTACGCTCTCAAAACGAATAATGCTAAATAATCTACTGGCTATGGCCACAAAAGAAATAAGGCCGAGAATGACGACCTTAAGGAGTGCGGCCTGATTTTGTACATCTAAACCAAGCACCATTATATATGCTTGTTTAATACAATCGCAAAGGCTTTTCCTTCCATTCTTTTTTTTCACGTAGTCAAAAAATGATAATAATCGTATGTAACCAATAACTTCACGACACGAAAGAAGTTACACAATATTTAAAAAAGATCTCAGGTGACTACACAATTTTTTTGTTATTTTCATTCACGTGTTAATTGTATTTCAGATATGTACGATAGGAGTTTTTCCGTAAAAAAAAAAAAAAAAAAAAAACTTTTAGTTTCTTTTTATTCGCTTAAAATTATAACATATTTTTACTCTTTAGCGATTATTAATGTCTGCGGCTGTTGAGTCTGACGATTGGGTTCAGCCCGTGGAAAAAACTGACGAGCTTGCTGACGCTACGAAAGATAGCTGGGAAGCTAATACGTCCTCAAGTTTGAAGAACGACGATAGAAGAAAAAGTAACTCGCACAAAAAGAGAGGTGGTAACTCTTCTTCAACTCAAGAACAAGGTTGGGGAGCTGCTCCCACAAATAAGGATACAGGCGGCTGGGATGATTCGTCTAATTATGAAACCGATTATAATAAAGTAGAAAATTGGGGTATTACACCGGATAATAATGGTGATACAAATACTAATAATAACAATTGGGATGATGTCCCAACCGATGTCAATCCGGTCGCTAACGAAAATACGAGTGGTTGGGGTACTGAAGAAGGTACAGGTTGGGATAATCCACCAGATAACAGTGGATGGGAAGAAAAAAATGAAAAAAATGCTGGAGATGATAATTGGGGCACTACTACTACGGAAAATAATGATACATGGAATCATATTGAAGAGTCTGATGAAACTATCAGAAATACAACTGAATGGGTTAATGATCAACATAATCAGCAAAGTCAACAAACTCAACAAACTCAACAAACTCAACATAATCATCATCAACAAAGACGAGACGATAGTAAACATCGTGATCGCAGTGATCGTGGGACGCGCGGTGGACGACGCTGGAATAGACCAAGAGGAGGAGGCCGTAGCAATAGAAGATATCCACGTGATAATAATCACAGACGTGATCATGGAGGAGATAATGATTCTAGAGGTCATAGTCATAAGTCACGCGGAGGTGGCAGAAATCAAAATAATGAAGGTACATTATTCATTTTAAATCTTAAATAAAAATTCTATATCGATAATATCGATAATAAAAAATATATATTTCTTTAGACCCTGAATCGTATAATGAGAATGAAAAAAAAGAAAAAGACAATGATTCTAGGTCCTCAAGAAAATCTAGTACCATTAACGATAGTATTCATGCTCCCAAATCTGACACTGCTACCAGGCATGATAATGCTCTAAAAACTGGTTCTGATTCGGCACCTAAATCTGATTCTGTCCCTTATGTTAATGAAAATCGAGTTTTGTCCGGTAGCAATACTCGTCAAGTAAGTTATACATAAATTTTTATTTCTATTTTTATTTTTATTCATTATTTTAAATTTTTTTTAGAAATATAATGAAGAAGAATTATCCAAGCGCATTGAAAAAATGAAGGAGCAAAATAAAAAAATTGAGGAAAAGCGTAAGGTAATTTTTATAAAGATTAAAATTAATAAACTATTACCTCTTTTTAATAAATAAATTTATTTGATAATAATTTCGCAATTCGAAGGTGGTCGAAGAAGAAGAAGCTCAATTCAAGAAGGAAGATGAAATACGAAGGAAAAAGGAATCAGAAAATTTAGAGATTCAGAAGAGAAAATTGGAGGAAGAAGAAGAAGAAAAGCGACGACATGAAGTTCAACAAAGACATTTGCAGCAACAAATCGAGTATGCATTATAATGTTTGCTTATATTTGTTTCTTTATTCGGTTTAATTCAATATCTAAAAATGTTATTGTTTAAACCCAAAAGTGATGAACGCGAAGAAAATGCCACACGTAAAAACAAGAACCGTGATGACCGAGAATGGGATGTGGAGAAAAAAGAACCTGAATGGAATAATTCACGTAACCAAAGAAACAATTCGCGTGGTGGAGGAAATCCATATAAGAATGGTTCTCGTGATGAGAATTCCAATAGGAATGGATCTCAAAACGATAATCGAAATTATAGAAGAAATCCTCATGGTAACGAACATGGAGGAAGGGGCGGTCGTGGACGTGGACGAGGAGGTGGTGATCGCGGTGGTGATCGCGGTGGAAGACGTAATCGTGGTGGAGGGTATGGTGATAGACGCGGGGGAGGAAGAAAATATAGTGATCAGCAAAACAATAAAGATTTTCACAATAAATCTGTTGATGTTGAGGAAGGATTTGGCAGCGGAAACAGCTGGGCAGAGCAAACGGAGCAAGAAAAAGATAACAACTGGAATAACGGTTTGTAATTATTATTTGACTCGATTGAGTTATCATATTTAATATTTTTAATCATCATTTAATTTATAGACAATCCAAGCTGGGGTGAATCTTCCACCGATAAGAAAAATGGTGAATTAAAAGATCCTTATTACTATTTTATGTGAGACTCTTTTTGAATTTTTTTTTTTTTTTATGCAGATGTAGGATGGGACTCTAATTCCAATCAAAATAATGGTGAAACTGATAATTGGGGACCGATACCAAAATCAAATGACTGGTAAAATAGCTTTTTATAAAGTAAGAATGGCATAAGTTATGAAATCCAATTTTACATTAAAAATTACTGCAAATTTAACAATTTTTCTATAATTTACTAGATATTGTAAGAATATAATAATATGTGATAGTCAGGCTATCCAGCATGGAATAAAATTTAGGTAATAGTTCCTTCCAATGTTAAAGGTTTTGTAGTACAATTTAAAATAAAATTTTAACTTGATTTTAATTTTAGGTTCTTTTTTAGCTGATATTATTATTGATAAGAAGACTAGTACATTTTCAAGTTGAACGTCGGTGACTACGTGCACTTTAGCACATTATCACCAAACCGAATCTCAAAATTTTGTAACATGGTAAGAGAAAAATTTAATTTATCAGTTTGGTTAATGTTTTTAAAAAAAATATCTGACAACTTTGAATTATTATCTGTTTATTTAATACAAATTAGCATTTTTTTTTTCATTATTTATATTTGAAATAATTATTAAATCGTATAGAATCAATATGAAAGAACTTTCATGAATTTAAATTTCATAATTATGATTCTAAATAGTTTTACAAATTAAACATTATAAAAATCAGGATTTTGTATAGTTTAGTAGAGAGTTTTATTTTCATAAATATTTTTTCTTTCTTTTTTTGATATTTTGATATGAATATATATAAATTGTAAACTGTATATAATATAAAAAAATTCAATTATCAATCACGTGATAGATTGATCAAAAAAAAAAAAAAAAAAAAATTATTTAAAAAATGAGGTTCTCAGATATCAGAAATTTCCCTCTCTTCGGATACATCAGCGAAAATAAACTATCCCGTGAACGCAAAAAATAGCGATGTCTAAATTTCCTGCCATCTTGAATGGTATTTGCAAAATTCCTATATTTAAACTAGTATTTATTAGAAGAAAAAATAAAATGATTTTTTTTATTTGAATAGCCACGGAAGAGGATATTCAACTTCTCCTTTCGGCAACTTGCCATCTTGGTGCAAAGAACTTGAACGTTCAAATGACTCCTTACGTTTGGAAACGTCGTGCTGACGGCAAGTATATTATATTAAAGCTAAATAAATAAAAAAGAATTTTATATTTATTCGACTAAATTTTAATTTAGGTGTTCATATTATTAATATTGGTAAAACATGGGAAAAATTAATTTTTGCTGCCCGTATTATTTGTGCTATTGAGAATCCGGCTGACGTAGTAGTAATTTCAGCACGTCCATATGGTCAAAGAGCTGTATTAAAGTACGCATCATATACAGGAGCGCAACCTATCGCAGGAAGGTTCACACCTGGTACATTTACCAATTACATTACAAGATCATTTAAAGAACCAAGATTGATTATAGTTACAGATCCGAGAACCGATCATCAAGCCATTAAAGAAGCATCATATGTTAATATTCCAGTGATTGCATTAACAGATACTGATTCACCGTTAAGATATATTGATGTAGCGATTCCAACAAATAATAAGGCAAAACATTCTATTGGTTTAATTTATTGGTTGTTAGCGAGAGAAGTATTAAGACTTCGAGCCACCATTCCGCGTGAAACACCTTGGGATGTTATGGTTGATATGTTCTTTTACAGAGATCCTGAAGAGGCTGAAAAAGATGCAGAAGCTATCCCTGAAAAACCGTCATTTAATACTTTTGAACCCTCTACTAGTAATTGGGATAATGAACCTTCATCGGAATGGGATGCTTCAGTTACTAATCCTGCTCCCGGTAGTGTAAATCCTGCCGTAGCCGCAATTGCTACTAATTCTACTAGTTGGGATACTCCTGTTGAAGAACCTAGTAGTAGTTGGGATAGTGGTGATGCACCAAATACTTGGGAAGGTGAAACTACCACCAAACCTAGTGGTGGTGGTGGTTGGGGTGAAGAAACTACAGCTACAACAACTACAACAATTACAACTAGCACCTGGGATACTAATCCTAGTAGTAGTGGTGGTGGTTGGAATGAGACTCCCGTTGCTCCACAAACTGGTGGAACTGCTGGAACTGCTGGTAGCTGGGATGAAACTCCTGTTGCCCCCCAACCTACCGAAACTACTACCACTACCACTGGTAGTTGGGATGAAACTCCTGTTGCCCCACAATCTACATTTGGTGGAGAGGATTTTACTACTAGTACTACTGGTAGTGGTAATTGGGCCGACGAACCTGCAGACAATACTAATAGTGGTTGGAATTAAAATTAAATTCATTGGAGTAAATGTTTATTAAAGAGAAAAGTTTTATGCATTATTATATATTATTTTTTCTTTATCTTTATTTTATTTTTCTTTAATGATTGGAAAAAGTATGTAAAGGCTTTTATTTTACTTATTAAAAAAAGTTTTTTGAAAAAAGTAAAAAATTTATTCTTTTTCATTGACCATATAAAAGTTTTCAGTATTCGCTTGCAACATATTCATTAAAGAGATAGTAATATAATGTGAATTATCTCAATTTTACAGAAAATACTGTATGTCGAGAATAATAATATGAATAAATATAAATGCCAAATCCTTTAATATATAATAAAAAATTACTAAGTCCCCTGAAAACATAAAAATTCATTATCAATAATAAAAAAAAATATTAACAAAAATAAATAATGATTATAAATTAAGCTAAGTAAATTTAATTTCTAATTTCAATAACTTTTTTTTTTGTTCTCTTACATCAACAATACAATAATTCTTTACATAATAACATACAGCAAATCATTTTAAATTAACGCACATTATTTAAAATTTTCTTTTTGTTTGGATCTTTGTAATTCCGCTTGAGATGGAGCTAAATCCAATCTATCAAATCTTTGTTCATCAAAAAATTGAGCAGAAACTTGTCTACCACCAAAAAATCTACCATTTAAATCTTTTTTTGCTCTAATCGCTGCTACAATATCTTCAAATTTTACAAATATTCGTACCGCTTCATCATCCGGTAATTTTCTGTGTGGTACCTATAACCAAATAAAAAGAAAATGTTTAATAATTATAAAAAGAGTACGTTAATACAATTTATATTTTTTACCTCATAAATGAGACATCTTTCAACTGTCCCGTATTTTTCATTACATTCATCAGCTGTCTCTTCTTGAAGCGTGTCATCTACTTCACCAGGTCCAACCTATAATAATAATAACATTTAATAAAAATTTAAATAAAATATACATCGGATATTTATCATCATCTATTACCATATTTGTTAGTAGAATTACTTTAGAGGGTAGTTCGGTATTTGGAAGATTATTTGCAGCAATCTCATTTTCTTTACTATCAGATTTAGCTAAACATATTATGAAATACATTTTTAAATTTAGAATGAATAATAACAATGATAACAATAATAACAAATAATATTAATGTTAACAAATGATTTTTAATACTTGGTGGATTGTTATTGACAATAATTCCTGATCTAATATCAGTTTTTTGAACTGATAGTGGCTCACTAATACCTTGTTCGTTCTTACCCAATCCTATTTAAGGTTTTAGAATAATTAAAAACTTGAAATTTTTATAATATAAATTTATTTAATTTAATTTACAATACCTTGACCTTCTTGCCAGCCATATTTAGCCATCATTCTATGAGCAAAATCCTCTCCAGATCCACCAGATGTGGATTTTTGCTCAGGTGATCTACAAAGTAAAATAACATAAATTAAACTCTAATTGCTTGGTCAAGAAAAAAACCTTTCAATATTTATTTATTTCATTTTCATTTACTTTGAAGTTTCCTCAATAGTACGATTGCTCAATCGAGCTCTTCGTAAAAAGGCTTCTTCACCGGTCATATCTAAATCAATTTTAGCAGGTGGAGAACGAGCAACGGGAGGAGTATGAGAAACAGGGGGAGTATTCTCTGCTTCACTCGGTGGTGAATCTTCATACAATAATGGTGGTGGAAAATAACCTATAATCCAAAGAAAAAGAAAGATTTTGTTTGTTTATAATATTTATAATATCCTGAATAAAATTAACAAGTCATAAATTTTACTAACGACGTGGGGAACGTCTATCGCGCTCAGGGCTCATAGATCTTTGTCTTTTGCGTTCTTCTTGACGACGATAAATTTCATCATCTCTACGCCTCTTTTCCATTTCTTTATAATCTTCATAATCATTAGGTCGAGTAGGGTCATAGTCATCTTCCAAAGACAACTGAGCTTGCTTTTTGCCACCTTTATTTAACTGTTTTTTCTATAAACGAGAAAAAAATAATATGATTACAAGAAATACAGTATACCAAAATAATAAACTATAAATTAGATACTAACTTTATCAAAACCACGCTGATTTCTTTGAACGTTCAAAACAGATTTGAAATCATTAACATCCTCCGAGAAAGTATTTTGTTTAGGAGGAGAAGTAGTAGAATTCGTAGCAATAGATAACCGGTTATCAATGGAAGAAGCCAAAGCCTGAGTAGGTGACGTATTATTATGGGCAGAAACAGAAGTCGAAAAGGTAGTAGTATTCGTTTGTTGTTGATTCAAAACCGATAGGTTCGCTGTAACATTAGAAGTAGTAGAATTGATAGTAGCGGTAGTGAGGGCAGTAGCGGAAGAACTTGAAGTAGTAGGGTTCGACACCGATGGATTGGTAGTTGCAATAGCAGGAACCGGAGGAGAGGAAATTGTAACTCGGGAGGTAAGCCTAGGTTTTGATTGTGCAACAGGTTTTCTTTGAATAGTAGGCATAAAACGCAACGTTCCAGGGGTCCAACCAGCTTGAATTTTCGACATATTGTATAAAGATAGTTTCGGGTAGTAAAATGGTAAAACGGTGCGTTTTTATTTGTTTCGGAAGTTTTGACGAAAGGTTATTTTAAAGGTGAGTGAATTTTTTTTAAACTTGGGATATTATCATTATTATTGTAACATACTACTTAAAATTTATCAAGTATAAAGTGAAAGTCTGAACAAGATCCAAATTTAATTTATTATAATATAAAGTTGCGGTATTTTATTTGGGTTTGCCAGAATCTGCTTGTACCTGGGAGAGCAGATTTAGTCGGTTTCGAAGTTGATGTAGCTGAAGTTATTTCCGTTACAGACGTGGACGACGTAGTAGTACTGGTGGTGGTGGTGGTGGCATTGTTCGTGGACTGTTGTTTGGTAGTTTCTTCTTTTTCTCCAGTACCACCACCTGGTGAAGAATGTGTTGGTGGTGGAAGGTCACCGTATAATGATGACATATTGCTTAATGGTTTAAGGTTTTCTATAAACCTTGTATATTTTATAAATCTTATAAAAGAAAAATAAATTAGAAAAAAAGGATGTAATTATTAAAAAAGGCGAGTTTAAGGAATGAGATTTTTTTTTTTTTTTTTACGGCGGTATTTGAATTACAAAATTACAAACTATATATCATGTGATCATGATTGTTTGTGACTAGCATTTAGACATAATAGATATTTCAAGAGTTTGATTGGTTGTATAAATAATAATAATAATTTTATTAAAAAAAAAACCCTATATATTAAATTTTCAATAAACAAAAAAAAACTTTCTATGTACTATAGAAAAACTAAAATAAATTTGGCTTCTTTTCAGGATTTTGTATAACAATAAGAAGGTATTCCTTATCTTTAATTAATAAAGGTAAATAAATAAATAAAAATACATATGTATATTTTTCTTTAAAAAAAAAAAAAATTAATAAATATCAAAATGAATTAATTGAATTCTTTACCTGGTACGATCATAATTTCGTGTTTTTTAGTTCTAACACGTAAGAACGATAGATCGTTCTAGATATAATTAAATATTAGTTAATTATTAAAATTTGTTACTTTAAATCAGGATATAACTTTCAAATTATTTAAATTGTTAAGAAAAACTCACGGTTTCATCCATTTCTTTAACACAAAAAGTTGCTTGTTCTATAAGTTTAGTAATTAAATCCGAATATTTTTTATTCAACGTAGGATCTAAATTTGATTTAATAGTTTGTCCATCTCCATTAACAATCAATACGCCTTCTACGTATTTATTATTTGTAAGTCGTTTAAAGTGTTCTTCAACTTCGACTTCAGACTAAAAAATTAAAATTAAACGTAAAACACATCGATTATACTAAATCAACCAAGCAAAATACAGATTATGAAGAAATGAAAATACCATTATGTTAATTAAAAAGTAAAGAGTAAGAAAAAGTTTAAGACTGAAGAGACCTATATATACACGAAAGTTTTTCAACGTATCTGCATATGCACGTGAGTGGTACAGTTGACAAACATATGCAGGGGACTTTCATATTCACATGGCACAAAAACTGCGGATAGATAGTGAAAAAATTTCACCTTTTTACACGATTTACTTTTCAACAATGGAAGCACGATTGGAAGCTTTGACTAGCGAATATCAAAAAATTCAGAAAGGTCAAATGAGAAAGAAAATTATTTTTATTAAAATTATACACGCTTTGAGCTAATACTAGTTTTGATTTTAACAGATTTGTCAAATGCTATAGAGTCTAGGCAACGTTTAGATTCTCAATTACAAGAAAATGAGGTTGTTCAAAAGGTAAGTTATTTATGGTAGGTAAAAGATTAACTGAGTCAGGACTCTTACTAAACTATTTAGACTTTTATAATTAATTTACTCTTAGGAATTTAAATTGTTAAAGGATGATGCGAATATTTATAAATTAATTGGGCCTGTATTAGTGAAACAAGATAAAGTCGAAGCTACTACGAATGTTGATAAGCGATTAGAATACATTAAATCAGAAATGTGTGTAAATTATACATAATTACTTTTATAAGTCTTTAAATTATTATTATTTAATTTTATGATTTGTAATTTGAATAGTCAACGCGTTGAAAAACAACTTACAGATTTAAACGAGAAATCAGAGAAAAAGAAATTGGAGGTATGTAAAAACAAACAAATAAGTAAATAAATTAATTATTAATTTAATATATACACACACACATATATATTTTTTCATATAATAGGTTATTGAACTTCAAAAAGCTTATCAAGATCAAATTCAAAAAACTTCAGCAAGTAGCTAGTTTAATTAAGAATTATAATTGGTAATTTAGTCCCTTTGCTAATTTAATGGCGTCTCTAATATATTGAGACAATCCAATAAATCCTTTCCCTCCTGCACACTAATTATTTCATTTACCAATTGTTTAATAATAATATCTCCATAACCAACCGTATCTGATATATTCCGTACAGTATTTCTTATTATATCTTCTAATACATCTTTACTAAGAATTATTTCTTGTTTAATAACAAATTCAAATAATGTTGATCCAAACGATTTAATGTCTTTTTTGGTCTGTATAGAGGAAAATAAGTATTTAACACTAATATGATTTAGTTGAAGTCCAATTGGAGTATATTTAATCATTTCCATGAAGCTTAATGGTCCGTATTTACATTCCGATATAGCCTTCATAAAAATATTATATAATTTAATATCCATAGGAATGTTATTTGTTCTATTCATAAATGAATCATGATAATTGGTATTATATTTGAGAAGTTCTTGATAAAATTCCATAATTCCACGAACATCACGTAATCTTCCTAAAGTTAAAATCATTGAACTTAATAATGATTTTTGTAATTTAATAGTTTTTGGTTTAAAAAACATTCCTTCTATTAATCTCCAAGTATATGTTCTATTATTTATTGTGTTATCATGTATTGAATCAAATAAATTTTTATATAATGATTTTTTTGGTTCCAAATTTTTTTCCCACATCATTTCTAATATTCTCATTGACCTAAAAATATCTCCTTTCATTGTACAATACTTTAATAATGTATTATAAATTTCTAATGGGATTTCTCCTCTAGAAATTCTATAAAATCTTAAAAAATAATCAAAGCATTTTGATATTCCATCCTTCATATTTTTCATATTATGTTGATTCTCATAAGTCAAAGATTTATTAAAAGAAAGTTTTGTACAACATATCTTTATAATTTCTTCTTGCAATCTTTTATTTTTACATAATCTATATTTTAATGTTTTATTCCAAATATCTTCTAATTGTTCATGATTTTTGCAATGTTGTAATAAAATTAAAAATGTTGTTCCATTTGGTCCAATTTTCCAATGCGACATTAATTCAATAATTATATCTGCGTTCTCTTGTATATTAGCGTCTTTTGATGAAAGACATGCTTTTAAAAGGAAATTTAGTGTAGCAGAATTTGTTTTTTCGCCTCTTGAAATAATTTTCTCTAAAAATTCAAAACATTTATATGGATCATTTGCCTTTGCTGCGGATTTTATCAACGTTGAGTAAGTTTTCACGTTAGGAAATGTACCATATTGAGACATCGCTTTATATACTAAAAAAATGATTTTTTCTTTTAATATTTAGTTTTTTTTAAAAGAAAAATGTAATTTCTTTTATAACTTACTGCTAATAACTTCTTCGGGCTGTCCCTTATCAGCATATATCTTAGCCATAACATTCCATACTTTAATAACAAAAGCGACAAGTACATGTTTTCTTGAACTCATATCGACATCATGAACGAATCTAGCAAAAATAACGTTAACCAAATCCAATCTGTCATGTTTAGAGCACTGACGTAACAAATAAGAAATTAAATCCAAATAAAATGGTTTGGTAAAATACAATGAATTAAATTTCATATAAAATGATAAAATATGTGATGATGTTAATTGATTTATTGTATCTTTTGTTATCATTTCATTAATTAGTCCAATTGCCTAAAAAAAAATTTAATTTAATTATTCCAATTTTCAAAAGAATCGGATTAAATTAATTAAATATTGACAAACCTTACTTTCACTACTTCCATTTGAGATTTTATTTTGATTTTTTCTTTACAAATTTTCGGTTTTATCTTGACATCTTCGTTTAACTGTTTTCTTAATGCTTGAATAAATGCATTTTTATTTGGTAATGAATTATAAAAAGATAATGATGAATTACTTTTATTTCTTGTATTTTGATATTGTTTATAATATGAATGAAAACTATTTCCGACACCATTACTGCCGTTATTGTTAGTTTCGATACTTGTCGGATAACCACGACAATTTGCTGTATTAAATTGACGAGTATGTAAAATTTGTGAATGATATTGTATATGCTGTCGTATTGGTTGAATTGGTTTAAATTCGAACAAAAAAACATATAAATTACGTATATTTAAGCTATGCATTTTTTATGAAACAAGAGACTACAAAAGATGAGAAAAAAATTTTTTTATCTAATCAATCAATCACATGACAAAATAAGATTTACAATATAATTGGTCTGTATCCTCAAGGAAAAAAGTTTTTTCATCGAGTTTTTTTTTAAGAGCGTAATTGTTCTCTAATTAGAGTTAAAGAATTCGTATCGACTTTTGCGACAAAAAAAAATATCTCGAAAAATATTAGGTATCAAAAGAGAAATTATTTAGTTTTAAATATATTTGACAGTTTAGATTAATAAAGAATAATAATCTTTTTTTAGTAATAATGAAACACCTTGCAGCCTATTTGTTATTAAATCTCGCTGGTAAAACGCCCAACGAAAGTAGTATCAAATCTCTTCTTGATACCGTTGGTATTGAAACTGATAGCGCAAGACTTAAACAATTATTAGGAGAATTAGATGGAAAAGACATCGATGAGGTATTATTGTAAAATAAATTAATTCTTCATACTAATTTAAACGAATAGTAGTTAATTTATTAAATAATGATTTTTAAGTTGGTTAATTCGGGATTGTCGAAGTTATCTTCAGTACCTACAGGCGGTGGTGCTGCAGCTAGTGGTGGTGCTGCAGCTGGTACCGATGCTACTGCTGAAGCTGCTCCCGCTGAAGATGCTAAGAAAGAAGAAGAGAAAGAAGAATCCGATGAGGTAATATATTTAATTTATTAAAATCTAAATTGTAAATTCCGAATTCTTATCTTTTTTTTTATAATCGTAGGATATGGGATTCGGTCTTTTCGATTAAAAGTGATCTGATGATGCTAAGTATACCGTACTTTATTAGTAACATGTTTTAAAAAGCAAAAAAATTTGCCTTATACCTGAATATATGAAGAAAAAATTAAATTTAAATAAAACTAGTCAAAGATTCTAATTATTATTATCACGTAAAATTGGTTTTTTTAAAAATATATGCAATTCTAGTAAAATTGCGTTTTTTACTAATCACCCAGTAACTAATCTTACTTAAAAACATTGTTCAATAATCTTTTCCTTTGATTTACTGTCATAAAAGATTAAATTTTTTCTAAATGGTTGTTCGCGTGCTTTGTTTTTCGTGTTGGAATATCTGCTGATAAATTTGCTTGACCATTTACGGACATTTATCAAAGTCACGTGATTGGTTAAAATAATGATGACTGATATCTGTAAAAATTAATTCTTTTTAAATTCGATTCGCAACCAAAACAAGTCGGAAATGCCGTTAGTTAAAGGTTTGTTACTCAATACTTTTTGATTATTAATTAAAATTTTCTTTCTTGACTTTTACTTCTTCGCTCCTCTTTGTTATAGTTAATGTTAAATGGAATGGAACTGACTATGAATTGGAAGCTGATACTGATGATTCTGTTGAATTACTTAAGACTCAGCTGTACACCATGACAAGTGTACAACCTGACAGACAAAAGCTCTTGTTTAAAGGAAAAACCTTGACGGTAATTTATATTCTTTTTATTAATCAAGCGTTCTTTTTTATTTAATATTTATTTGTACATTTGTTATTAATTTACTATTTCCTATATAGGAGAATACTGATTTAAACACTTTGAATATTAAAGAGGTTTGGATTTTATCATTTTCGGTTTTGTTTATTAAAAATTAACGTATATCTTTATACATGTCTTATATAGGGCAGCAAATTCATGGTATGATAAATTGATTCATGTAAATCTTTGAGATATTACTAGTATTGATCTGTACTATAATATATTTTTAGATGATGGGAACAATTGGTGAATTGCCAAAAGAACCGGAAAATAAAACTTTATTTATTGAAGATATGTCGGATAAACAATTGGCAGAAACCGTATGAATTTGAATTTGTGTAATCCTATCATTTAGTTAAATCTATTTATTTAATTTCATCTATAATCGTTATAGTTAAAGTTACCATCTGGTCTCCGAAATCTTGGTAACACTTGTTATATGAATTCAACCTTACAATGTCTTCGAGTAATGCCAGAATTGCAGGAGTCTCTGAATAGGTGAAACATAGTTTTTATAATAATAAATCATCATCTATTAAGAAAATTAATAGTTAACGTTTATGTATCTATCATCATAGTTTTACAAGTGGATCTTCTGCTGCTGCTGCTGCTAATAACCTTACAACCTCTTTGCGCGATCTTTATCGTAATATGAGTCAAACCACTGAAGGTGCTACTCCACTTAATTTTCTTCAGGTAATTTAACTTTAATCTCATTTTATTTTAAAAGTTTTAGTACTTATTATTATTATTATTATTATTATTAGATACTTAGAAATGTTTTCCCTCAATTTGCTCAACGGAATGCTACTGGTTTTATGCAGCAAGATGCCGAAGAATGTTGGAGCCAAATTGTGTCTAGTCTGAAACAAGCAAATATTCCTATACCAAACCAAGATTCTAGTTTGTCATCAGAAGGTGAAACAACATCGGGATCATTTATTGATCGTTACATGACAGGAGAATTTACTTCGACGTAAGTATAATCTTTTATAATAATTTATATTAATTTATATGTTCACATTATATTGGAAACAATTATTTAAAATTACTTTTTTAGTCTTAAATGTGAAGAAGCCTCCGAAGAGGAAGCAACTATTGTAAAAGAAAATTTTACAAAATTAAACTGTCATATCTCAAAAACCATAAATTATATGCAAAATGGAGTTCTGGAGGTAACGCTGTTTAAATTCTTATAATACAATCTTTTTAAAAGTCTTTAAATTTAATTATCAACTCATCTGTTTACTTAGGATTTAGATGAACAGATTGAAAAAAATTCTCCTACATTAGGAAGAACGGCAATTTATAATAAAACTTCACGTATAAGTCGGTTGCCATCATACCTTACGGTACAATTTGTAAGATTTTTTTGGAAAGCTGACCGAAATGTTAAAGCTAAAATTTTACGTAAAGTAAAATTTCCAATGGAACTTGATGCTACAGACTTTTGTACTGATGAATTAAAAAATAAAATTTTACCACTTAAAAATCGTTTACGCGAATTGGAAAAAGAAAGAGAAAGTGCAAAGGTGTTATTATTGTATGATTTTTATTTGATCAATGATTTACAGTATTGAACTTTTGTTTTAAAAAAAAAACTCTACTTTAGAATAAAGCAAAACTTTCAATCGATAATGATGATCAAGGTTTAGCGGATTCAAAAAATGATGAAACAACATATGCGGAGGAGCTCAAAAAGCTTATTGATCCTGACCTAAATAAAGATATTGGTGCTAATGTATCAGGATTATATGATCTTTGTGCAGTTCTTACCCACATCGGAAGATCAGCTGAATCTGGTAAGTATAAGAAGTTTTACCCAATTTAATGGTAATTTTTATTAATTTAATGAAATTATAATTTTAGGACATTATATGGGATGGGTGCGTAAAGATAATTCTGGTATGTTAATAATTATTTTTATTATAATTCGAAATTTAGTAATTTGTTAACATTTCTATTTATTTACAGATGATTGGATTCAATATGATGATGACAAAGTTAAAATCGTATCGCAAGAAGATATTCAAAAATTGGACGGAGGAGGTAACAAAAAATTTGAATGTTCTAATTTTTCCTTACGAAATTTTAGTTTATTTTTCTAAATTTTATTTAATTCACCGCGATATAGGTGATTGGCATATGGCATATATTTTATTGTATCGGTCAAAAAAGATTGCGTAATTCGGTTTACTTGATATTTTTTTTTTAAATTTTTTTAGAATATAGGTTTGAAATAAAAATATAAAGAGTTATTTGATACGATCTAATAACAAGATTTTATAATGATATTCGATCGTCTTTGGTTGATCAACCAATGAAACATGTGATCAAAATGCCGATCAATCAATTCTATCGCTATCGTTGCTATTGTTGTGCCCCAAATCTCAATATGCCCCAAATTGACGATAATCATCGATGATTACTATATGTGAAAAGTAATGCTTTGAAAATTCTTAAGGCATTATAAAGATGGGCCGATAATTTAGGCCGATCGTTGATTTGGGGCAATCGTCAACTTGGGACTATCGTTCGAATTAAAAACTTGGCATATAAAACATATTTGATAATTAAAAGAAGTACTTATTATAGAAGGAAAAAACTGGATTATTTTTGTTGTTGATCCATTGGTAAAAATATGATAAACATGTGAGAAAGAAAGGAATACTCATTTCCTATCTAGATAGTTTAGTAATTTAGGTATATGCTATTATTACGCGATAAATTGTTTACTGTAAACAAATATTCACATTTTCGCAAAAAATTTTTTACTTCTTTTTCTACATGTGATTTATCACATGATACACTTCAGTAATGCAATTCATGTTGACGTAGATAATAATAGAAATTTGGAAATCTCGCTGTGATTCATAGTAGTATAGATAGAAATCAAAACTCAAAAAATGTAATATATCTCGTTTTAAATTTTTATCATTTATATAGAATTAGGATTTTCAAAAATAATTGTGTTCTTAAAACATTTTGGTACTGCATGCATGATATTAATAGCAAGACTGGCCTACCTGTCTGGATACTGTAGTTCACTAGTCGTAGATAGAGAAAGTGAGAAACTAGTTTTTCTTTTTTTTTCGTTTGTTTTTTATTACGCATTGGTTAAAGTACTCAGCATGGAAAAAAGAAAAAATTTCGGAGAGATTCCGGTAAAGCATAGAAATTAGTTTTTTAACCGGAGCATGTAACCGGGTTTATTTTGTAATTTTTAAGTGAAGTGAATAAAATCTCCGGCATTTGTTAGAATAGATTTTCCACGCTGGTACTTTTTAGGTTAATTCCTACTTTGGGTTATATAATTATATTTTGCTTTGTTGTTGATTCTTTTAGTGATCCTTTTGTTTTACTTCATTTTGACCCTTGTTTTTGATTTTTTTGGTTTTTGTTTCATTAAATAATCCTTTCATTTTTGTTTTTGTTTCATTTTCGGATTTCTCCACTAGTTTAAAATTATTTCTGGATTTTTGTAAATCATCCGTCCAGTATTTTGTTCAAGTCAAGTTATTAAGTAAAAAGTTCTTGCTCTGCGTGAAATGACTATATTATCATTTTATAGACATTAACCTTTTTCTAAATAAGGAGCTCTGGGTTAATCTGCCAAGGCGCACATAATAAATTTGAGGGAAAAACCCAAGATTTTTTTATGTTTCATAATTACACAGCATTCCAATATTGCAATGTTACAACCTATAAAAATTTTTTTTTTTTATTACGGGATACTGTATATATTAATGTACCACAATTATCATTTGATGTAACACCGTCATGTCACATGATCTTAAAATTCGGATGACGTGATATGTTACATAACTTAAAGCTAACCATTTTAGGCTTTTGCTACTTGTATTTGTGTCTATGATATCCAAATAAAATTTATAACAACGCCCGAGCAGCTATATATCAATTACAACTTCGTTTCTCCGTTCTCCTTTCTTAATATCTTTTCTCTTTACTTTTACAGTGCTTGTCGTTTTTTTTTTTGGTTTTTTTTTCACTACACCTTTATAAAACCACTTTACAAAAATTTCCTTCAGAGTTTTTTTAATATACAACTTAAAATCCGCGTCTTTTTGTATTTTAGTATAAATGGCAGCACCTGAGGAGGACTATTCATCATTACCTCTAACTGAACGAGTCACACATAAGGTTTTTAACGTTAAAACTTTTCAATTATTTCACTTTATTTTAATTGAGATATATATATCATATTTTGGTGATTTACTACTTTAGATTTGGAAAGTTCGGGTTGGAGCTTATGAAGAACTTACGAAACTATTCAAAAAATCAGATAATGAAAGCGACTTTAAGCCTTATGAGGGTTTTATGAAAAACATCGCCACAGACTCTAATGCAGTCGCTCAAGAAACTGGTCTAACGACCTTACTTGCGTTTGTGGAGAACGCACCAAATCCATTAAAGTAAGTTTAAGGTTCTTACTCGCCAATAACCTAGTTTATTCAAGTATTTTAGCGCGTCAATAGTTTGTTATATACAGGTACATATTTTATGTTTTAAATTTATTAACTTGACGATCTCCATTCAAATTGCAGGGTCAGGAATTCTATAATACCGGCAGTTGTAGAAAAGGGTTTTGGTTCGTCTCGTGCTGGGACTAAAAATAAAGCAATAGAACTTATACTATTATATATAGAAGTCGATTCACCAGAACCCGTAGTAGTGCGTAAACTTATAATTATTTTCAAGCCAATTTTGTTAATTTTGTTAAATATATTTAATTGTTTATTTGACTTTAGGGGGATGTCCTTGGGGGGTTAAGCGCCAAACAACCTAAGTTGGTTGCTACAACTGTTTCTGCACTTAAAGAGATAATTAGGTATTACATCTATATTACTGAAATTTGAAATAATTATCTTTTCTATATCTACTCAATCAAATCGTAGAAAAATTCCAATTCATTGATGATTAGTGGTATGGTTATGCTAATTTAATTCATTTAATTTTTTCCAGACTTTATGGTACAAAAACTGTGAATGTTAAACCTATTCTCAAAACTATACCAAAAATATTTGCACACACAGATAAGAATGTGAGAAGTGAGGTAATTGAATAATCAAATAATAATTATAATGATTATTTAATATCATTTTAAATACAATTGACTTTTTTATTGTATAGGGAACACAATTAGTAATAGAATTATATAAATGGTTGGGTAAAGCAATAGATCCTCATTTATCAGAGTTAAAACCAGTACAGGTAAAAGTCGAAGATATTTAGGATGTGATGATTATTCGAAACATCAAAATTTCACACTACTATTTATCGATTTTAGATAAAAGAACTGAATGAATCATTTGAAAAATTACCACAAGAAAAACCCACACAAGGACGATTATTACGTTCACAAGTGGCAGCGGCTGAAGCGGCAGCTGAAGCTGGTAAAGGTAATGTCCGCAATACATTTGTATTTTGGTTATGTTGTATTAAACATGGCTTGAATTTTGCATATTAGGTGATGAGGCTGAAGCTGAGGAAGAGAAAGAGATTGATGCATATGATTTAGCGGAACCAGTTGATGTTCTTTCAAAAATGTCCAAAGACTTCTATACTCTATTGGTAATATATATTATATGACATTTAGTTAATATTTTTAGTAAATTCTTTTTAAACGTTATATATGTCCTACTAGGGGTCTTCAAAATGGAAAGAAAGAAAAGAAGCTTTGGAAGGTTTTCTGGAAATCTGTAAGACGCCAAGGATTGCGGATAACAATTATTCTGAATTAACTGCTGCACTTGCAAAGGTTGCATAGAAATTAATTTGTAATGAATATCATTGCATAATTGTGACAAAGTTATTTACAAAAAAGTGTATTTTTTTAATATTTTTATATTTTTTAACTTACAGCGTATTTCAGATGCGAATATTCTAGTAGTTACACTCGCAGCTAATGTTATTGAGGCATTGGCTTTGGGTTTACGTGAACCATTCGCAAAATACAAAACAACGGTAAACTTATCATATTCAACTTTATTATTTACCTTAATTAAGGACTTTCTGTTTAATAACGTTATTTTCATATTTAGGTCATGACTCCTTTGATAGAAAAACTCAAAGAAAGAAAACAAAGCGTTGTTGATGCTTTGTCCGCAGCGCTGGATGCAGTATTTTTAAGCGTAAGTATCATAAATAGAATTTTTTTTTCAATTTATATCATTTAATTTTTTTACCAAATAGGTTACAATTTCTGATATCACTGAGGATGTATTAGCCGCTGGAAAACACAAGAATCCGCAAGTTAAATCAGAATCCATGAAATTTTTAGTAAAATGTATTAAAAATACAAGAACGTCGCCTCAAAAGGCCGAAATCAAAGCCTTAACTGAAATGATGGTAAAGGCTTCTGAGGACAGTTTTGAACCTGTTCGTATTTCGGCTTTTGAAGGACTGGGAACAATGATGAAAGTCATTGGTGAGAAAGCTATGAACACTTTCTTGGAAGGACTTGATGATATTAAAAAGGGAAAAATTAAAGAATATTATGATAAAGCCGAAGTCAAAATAAAATTTTCAGCTGCGAAAAAACCACCGCCTCCAGCTGCAGCACCTAAAGGAAAGCCTGCGGAAAAACCTGCGGCAAAAAAAAAAGAAGCTGTGCGTCATATTTTTGGAATAGTCAATTTTATCTGTATTAATATTATTGTAAGATATTTCAACTCATTTTGCCCTTTATGGGGAATTTGTTTTGAAGGGTTCTGCACCCAAGAAGGCAGCTGCAAAACCGGGAGGCCCTCCAAAAAAAGCTCCACCAGCAAAAGCCTCGAGTGCCGCCGCCGCACCTCCAAAAAAGGGCGGAAAAGTGAAGGAAGAAATTATCACATACAAATTTTCTAACGAAGGTGCTGAAGAAAGGTTTGCTGAATTTGTACCTGAAGACCAGACTGCTAATTTAAGTGAAAAGAATTGGAAATTACGTTTAGAAGGTATGTTATTCTAAGTATTTGTTTATGTTATAAAAGGCTTTTACAAATTTTTGCCATTAACTTCAGCCATCGAGAATCTTCAAAGCACATTGGAAGAAAGATCATCTGAAATCGAAGCTGAATTGGTCGTTAGATTTCTTTCTAAAAAGCCTGGATGGAAAGAAAGCAATTTTCAGGTTAATACTTTGTTTGAATATCAATTTTTATATGAAATTTATATTATTGATTAACATAAGTTCTATTGTAGGTTTTATCGAAAGCATTTAATATCATTGAGATGCTTAGTCAAAAATTTCCGTCATTTGGAAAACCAGCGGCAACATTGGCAATACCGAGTAAATTTATTTATTAATTTTTATTATTTTAGTGAACGCTAATTAATATGATATACATATTACAGTACTTGTGGAAAAATTAGGAGATATTAAATTAAAAAAGAGCGCAGGGGATGCATTAATGGCATTTTCCGAGAAAATTTCTTTACAATTTGTACTTTCACAAGGTATTTAATAAATGGTTTTTAAATATTTAATGTTTGCTAATTTGCTAATTTTGTTTTTCTTCATTTTTTTTTCCAAAAAAAAAAAAAAAAAAATTTAACAGCATACGATCCCTTGAATAAAGCAAAAGCACCCAAAATATTGGCTGATAATTTGTTATGGATTCATGGTGCTATTATGGAATTTGGAATAGGGGGTCTTCAAGTGCGAGAATTAATTGAATTTCTCAAAGTTACATTAGGAAGTTCTAATGCATCCGTTCGTACAAATGCTGTCACTGTTTTGGGAGCATTGCGTGTTTTTGTAGGACCAGGTAAAAAAATTAACAATGATTATAATTTTTTTTAAAAAAAATTATGTTTAAACAATTAATTAATCAATTATTCGCAGACATCAGAACATTTGTTCAAGATTTAAATCCTACACAACTTGCTACAATTGATAGTGAATTTGAAAAAGTAGCTGGTCAAGAACCTCCGAAATCATTAAGGGCGAGTGTATGTGCAAAGTTAGGGATTTATTTATAATAGTCATTTTGTTTGATTTTAACTATTCTTTTATTTGCATAAAGGCTGAAGCTACAGGTACAGGTAGTAGTGGAAAAAATCCCATAGAAGAGTTGTTTCCTAAAGTTGATATTGGTGCGCAATTTACTAGTAAGATGATGGCTGTAAGTTCTATTTTAGTAATAGAATATTTTTTTTTTTTGCCTGATAGAAATTTAATGTATAAATAAAATATATTTTTAGGAATGTAATGATGATAAATGGAAAGTGCGAAAAGATGCACTTGAGCAAGTTCTTGCCATTGTTGATGCTAACAAGAAGATTAAACCGAACTTGGGTATGTATATAGATGAATAAATAATAATAATGATAATAATAATAATAATAATAATAATAAAAGAAATTTAATGATTAACTAAAAAAAGCGCTATAATATTTGTTTTATAGGTGATTTTGTTCCTATCCTTAAATCAAGATTAGGAGATAGTAATAAAAATTTGCAAATGATGTCTTTGGATATAACTGGCAAGATTGCTACTGCAATGGGCAAACCATTTGAGAGGCACGTAAAAATATTAGTTGGGCCTGTCACTGCTGTACTTACAGATCAAAAAGCAACGGTTCGTAGTAGTGCTATTAGCACGTTAGATGCTTTGGCAAATGCTTGTGGCCTTGATTCTTTAATTGGTTCATTTTCAACGAGCCTTGCCACCGAAAATCCTTTATTGAGGAAGGATTTATTGAGTTGGCTCTCCGAACGTCTCAAAGAAGCTGCAGAAAGTGATAAGAAGAATGCTCTACCGGATTTATCACCTATGGTTCAACCAATTCTATCCTGCTTACAAGATCGTAATGGTGAAGTTAGAAAAGCTGCGCAGTCTTGTTTAAGTCCTATAGTAAAGAGTGCCGGTTTTGATTACGTTGTTGCAAAATGCGGTGATTTAAAAGGTGCCGTAAAACAGACAATTATGCCAATGATAGAAGCCGTTCGACCAACTGGTCCTAGTGGTCCTGCCGCAAAAAAGGACACAAAAAAGGCAAAATCTCGACTTGCTGCACCATCAAGCAAAGACAAAGCTGATACAGATGAGGAAAATATGGAAGATGACGATCCACCAGCAAAATTGCCACCAGGATTGGTTCTTAGGCCATCAGCTAATTCTACACTTAACAAACCCACAACTTCACTGGCAAATCCACTATCTGCAGCGAATCCTAATACATCAAGTTTACCTACAAATGGACTTTCTTCTCAACTTAGTGGACCTCCGCCCTCTGGTATTAGTAGGCTTCAATCACCTCTCCAAAGAGGTGGAATTCCTAGCGGAATTGGTAGGGGAGCAACTCCATCAAGATTACAGTTTTCTCGAGCTCGTCCTGGTATGAATGGAGCAAATGGACAAATTCCAGCATCTTCGAATGATTCAGTTGATGAGATCGAATCTAAGAAAGATTTATCCAGTATGGAAGTTGATAAATTCGAGTCGGTTAATAGTGAAATGAATGCACCTACTAAACAGCGTGTTTTTATGGTTGATATCATTATTACTAAAATTTTGAGTACAGAATTTCAACAAAGCATTGAAGCATTGAAAGAATTAGATAAACAATTGAACACTTCTCCTGAATCTATTATTCGCAATGTGGACGAGCTTGTAAATGCTTTAGCCATCCAGCTTCGAATTTCCTATACACAACTTAAACCACAATCACCTAGTTTAATTCGATTGTGTAAACATCTAGTTAATGCTTTAGTCTTATTATTTTCAAATAAAGACTTAGCATCAGCTGTATCTCAAGATTCACTCGACCGTTTACTTTCCGAATTAGCACATCGTTTGTTAGACCCTAATCTTACAGTAGTGGACGGTGGTTCACAATTATCCAAAGCAATTAATGTTTCAATGGTTAAAGTACTTGAACATAGCAATCGTAATAGAACATATAGGTAATAAAAATTATTATAGTAATATCAATCTATATGATTATCATTACTCATTTTACAATATCTTCCTTTAACTTTTCTTTAGTGCACTAATATCAATACTAGGGAAATCGTCATCAAATTTGCGTGAAGTTGATGCAGAAACTGCTGCCACACAAACAAAGTTTACTGAACTAATTATGAAATGTTTATGGAAATTGGCAAAGTCAGTCCAGGAAAATTTGAAGGCTGGTACTCTATTGCCTAATCAGCTGCTACGTGATCTTAACAATTTCTTTATGGCAATACCTCCAGCTGAGTGGAAAAGGAGAGAAAAAGAAAAAGTGTTACTAGGTGAATTGCCTTTACGTACGGTTAAGACATTATTGCTCGAACTAGTAACAGGTCTTGGTGAAAGTGTCTACGAAAAATTGGATCTTATTGAAGATCCACAGAAGAGTTATGTTTATCCTTACTTACACCACATGCTTGAGGCTACCAAGAAGAAGGATAGACAAGCTGGCAGCCAAGCAATCGCTGATAATACATCAAGCCGTCCATCTTCAATTTCATCGGCTCGATCTATTAGTTCAGTTGGTTCCGATATACAATTTTCTACTACAGAATCTGCACGTGCCTCTCCTGCACGAGACTTATCTCCACAAAGAACACCTACTCAAACATCATTAAGGAATTCAATACCAGCAAGAAATTCCCCTATAAATGAACCACCAACAAGAACTTTCCCACCAGCAAGGGATTCTCCAGTACCTGATGTGCCTGGTCATATCAATGAAACTATGTCAAATGCTTCAGAGCCAGTAAGTCCAGCGTCGCCGCGCACTCCAATGACCCCAAAATTTCCTACACCAACTACAAGTGCACGTTCATCAGGTTCGCATGAGGTAGAAATGAATGCACGTCTAACTCAAATTTTTCTTAAAATTGGATCAAGGGAAGAAACGAAGAAGGTAAATATTAATATATTGAGATTGCATCGAGATTATTATGATTAAATTATTGAAATTTTGTGCTTAGGGTATCTACGAGTTATATGAATTTCAAAAACAACACCCTGAAATGGAAGGCAAGATAACAACACAGTTATCTAGGACCGGTACACACTTCCAAAGTTATATCCGACGTGGACTTGCAAACATTGCTACAGAGGAAGAAGAGAAGGAAAGAGCAAATGTTATCGCAGAAGCTAAAAAAAATCTATGTATGTTATTATTTCAAGTGTTTATAAAAATTTTTGTGATTTCATGATTTTAGCTTCAATTAATGTATCATAACTTTTTTAGTTCCTCAAGATAAGAATAATACAGAGAATGTAAACCAATCGGAAGGTAAGATAATAATAATAATAATAATAATAATAATAAATTTTTTTTTTCTTACTTTGCTTATTAATTTTTTATTTTATTTGTTAGACATTGCGTATAGACAAAAACTTTTGAGATTACAACAAGTGTTTGGTTACCGAGAGACGGGGAACGAGTGATTTGTAAAGGGAGTAAATGGAACGGTTATTTAGTAAAAATTACATTATATAAATAGGACTTTGTGGTAGCTTGCTATTCTGTTTTATCTTTTTTAATCCAACATAAATATAATTGTCTATCATATTTTACAAATTTGAAGGGAATTTTTATTATATACATCATATACATATTACATGTCAATAGAAATTCATTGAATTTGTGGCGTTATATTAGAATAAAAAAATTTTTTGTAATTTTAATATTTAATTTAGAGTAAACATACCATAATAGAACATGTTATATGGTAGTATTTAAAAGTGGAAATCTTAAATAAATATATGCTATATATGATTCATTTACATGTATTAAAATTTAATAAATTTTATTTTACAGTATATATATAGTAATAATCCTAATAAAATTTAATACAGATTTTTATCATTTACGCATCGAATTCAGGTTTCTCGATCTGAAGGTTTTGGTTCTGGTGGTAACCGGGCTGAAATACCACCAATAGTAATCAATTTTTCATCAATCCTTGATGGAGTTACATATGGTGCTTGCCGATACTTTGTTGTAGGAGGAATTCGCTGTGGAAAAGGCACTCCACTAGGAGAACCCCAAGCATTAATGAATGAACTTGCTGAAGATGTGGAAGGGACAATAGTTGAAGTAGATGTTGAGCCGCCAGTGTAAGGTGGACCCATAACTGATGTTGATGTTGATGTTGATATCGACGTAGAAGGGATAGAAGGAAGTATTGTAGATTGTGAAGGGATTGATGACACAACGGTATTTTGCACAGTTGTCAATGGAGTAGTAGTGCTTCTTGAAGGTCGTGGTGTTGATTGAATTTGGGATCTTCCTGATGGACTGATCGTGAAACTTGAAGTATCATATGAACTATTTTGTTCCAATTCCTTAACTTTAAGGGCGAAAAAAAAGATTATCTTGGGAACAGTTCTTTTTTAATTGATGATATAAAGTATGTGATTTTACCTAATTTTTCTCTGAGTTGATCAATCTGTTTTTTCTTTCTAGCCCATTGAACATTTGTGTAAAATACTTTAAGTATGTAGAATGCAGGTATGCAAAACATTAAATATCCTGTATAATAAGAGATAAATTGTCAAATCCATAATTTAAATCTTGTAATCTTGTTATCTTCAAATTAAATAAACTTACCTACGACACTTGTATAATAATTTTCAAATCGCCTTTTTAAATACTACAACAATTAGTATTACATAATAAAACGGAAACATAACTATAATGAAATAAACATACCGATATTGTTTAGTAGAAGTAAGAAATATTATAAAAATCCCTAAACAAAAGTTAAAAAACAATGTCTTAATACTATTACTTTTTTCCACTTCATATTCATTCTTTGGTAATTCTTGTTCGATCATTAGGAGACGCGCAAGATATGGCACCTTCTCCACTTTACGTGGTGGTGTTTGTTGGTGTCTTGGTTTAGGTGCAGGTGTTGATTGAATAAGGGGAGATTCCGCTATTCGAGCATTCACATTTGAAATATCACGTCCAATTAAATTTGTCCCACTTGAATATATTGGAATTTGTTGTCTTTCGAACCGACTGTTTAATACATTAAAGGTCGAATCTGAAACCCCAGCAGGACTAGTATACATTGGTGAATTTATCGGTGTAACACCCGATTGAGTGATAGGCACGTATGCCCGAGATTGCGACTGATTTAATATTACATTCTGAGACATTGGCGCAACAGACGTAGGCCTACTTGTATCTTGTTGAAAAGTGTTCTGAAAAGTTCTTATTGTAGGTCCTGTTGTTGTATTAATATCTGATCTAGGTTGAGATTGTATTGATTGAAGTGGTGTTCGTGAATGCTCTCCGAACAAGCCCTGGAACTGTGGTGCTGTTGGTGTTGTTGGAGAGGTTGATGTTGACGCAGACGACGTTACTTGCTCATATACAGGACTTAGTATGTTAAAAGGTTGGAAGCTTGTAGATCGTGCTCTATTTTTTCCACGCATTAGTAACGGAGAAGACTGATCTTCTTCAGACGCGAAAGAAATCTCTTGACTTTGTTCTAAACGCCTTCGCAGCCATTGATTACTACTATTGAAGCCCTCATTGCTTTGATAAGACGAGGACGAATTAACGTTATTTACAAGATAAGACTTGTTTTGCGAAACTAATTTCGGTGTATAGACCATGTGGAAATCTAGAAGAAACCTATAAAAATTTTTTTTTAAAATTTTTTTGATTTATTTTCCAAAAAGGTTCAACACGTGCTTATAATGAGTCTGTAAACTTAATATGTCAACCATACAGCGATGGCTGTGTTAAGGGTTCTTTTTATCTGCAACAAGCTATTCACGAACTAACTAAATTAGGAAACGGCTCAAAGTTCATGTTTCATTGTTTGTAATTCAATTAATTACTGATTTTTAAAATCTCCATTCATACCGTTATCATTGTTCAATTTTTGATCACATATATATATAATAACTAGCTTTCACTATAGATTTCGTCCTATCTAAATCGTCCGTTAAATTTTCACAAATGAACATTGAAAACCACCCAGCTTGTATTTCGGAAACTGTGATTGAAGAAAGGGTTACTACATTCCTAGAATCACCAACCGATGAAGGATATAACGATGGTTATGAAGAAGTAAAACATGAATTCGAAATTCCTTCCTGGATAGCTTCGCTTAGCGAAGAACAAAGAATTGGTAAGGTTTTCTTTCATTTTATATCGAATTGATTTTTTCTTCGTCTTTCCGCTAATCAAGAAAGCTGTAGGTCTTGAGACTTGTCTATTGATTTGATATACTGAATTACGCCTACTTCAAGAAGGAAATTTTTATCGAATTCTTTTTTTTTTTTGTATTCAAGACTTTTTTTATAGCTTTGATTGGTGAAATGTTAAATGTTCTATTGCTAATTCTGTTCTTGGTATTTTAAAATCAGAATTCGCATTTCAGCTTCTTTTGACGCTTCCAACCCCCAAAATCGCACAGTTGCACAACCGTTTGTCTCCCCTGTTCCATCGAGACTTTTTATCCGTATGTCATTTCTTTTTAACAAAAGCTTTTATCGTTTTATATTGAAATTTTTTAAAGATTCAACATTAATTCTACCAAATTAGTTATTGCCATATGAATTGGCAATCCACATTCTTTCTTTTCTTGATGCACGGACTCTTGGTCGAGCCGCATGTGTATCTAAACAATGGAGAAAAGTTAGTTCTGATGGGTCATTATGGAGAAATTTATTTTTTAAAAACGGATGGACTGTGAATACAAAAATGGTTGAATTGTACCTTCAAACACCAATATGTAACAGATCGAATTCACCATTTAACCGAGGGAAAAATCCTGATCAAACAATATCCACTCAACAACAACTGGGAGCTGATGACGATTATGAATTGGATGATATTCATGATGATCTTATTGAAAGTGATCAAGATCTAAATTCACAATACAATAATGAAAGTGAGTTATTGAAAGTATAATTGGTTAAAAATTAAGTTTGTTAATAATTAATTTATCTGATTCTTTTAGATTCACAATCATTTCACTATCCTTCAACATATCAGGTAAATTTGCTTCCAACAAATGATGGGAGCGGTTCGCAGCAAGAAGACTTGAATTCAGATATATGGAATGGTGTATCATCACACTCAAGAACCAAAATTAATCAGAGTAGCATAAATATACCATCTGCTATTCCGTCAACATCTTTATCAACTGTCTCCGCTCCAATTTCAGATAGGTCTTCTTCAGCCGACAATCAATTTATAAGACGTTCCACGAGTTTATTACATCATCCAACTACACAATTACCTTCACCTCCTCTTCCTTCTCATTTCCTCATTCCTCCATCTGCTTATGTTCCGTATAATCTTCCCATTCTTCCTATGCATCAAAATGAATCTGGTCAACCTGTAATTAATTGGAAATACTTGTATCAACAAAGATCATTATTAGAACATCATTGGCGTAAAGGTATTTATTCAATTCGAAAGTTACCAGGACACACCGAAAGCATATATTGTGTTCAATTTGATGAACATAAAATTATTAGTGGAAGTCGTGATGATACAATTAAAATTTGGGATATCAAAACTGGCTATTGCATTAGAACATATCGTGGACATAGACAATCTGTTTTATGTTTACAATATGATGATGATATAATAGTTAGTGGAAGTAGCGATGCTACAATTATCATTTGGAATTTAGCTACGGGAGAAATTATACGTACATTGGAGGGTCACAGTGAAAGTGTTTTGAATTTACGGTTTAATGAAAATCATATCGTAAGTTGTTCAAAAGATCGAACAGTACGAATTTGGAGACGCGAGACGGGGTCATGTCTTCGAGTATTATGCGGACATCGTGCAGCAGTTAATGCTATACAATTTAAAGATGATTATGTTGTTTCAGCTTCGGGAGATCGAACAATTAAATTATGGTCTTTAGCATCAGGACAATGTCTTCGTACTTTTGATGGACATTCACGAGGAATTGCCTGTATCCAATTTGATGGAAATATTATTATCTCTGGGTCAAGTGATAAAACTATAAAAGTTTTTGATGTACATACAGGAGCTTGTTTATCCACTCTTGCTGGTCATACTGATCTTGTAAGAACCCTACAATTTGATAAAAATAGGATTGTTAGTGGAAGTTATGACGAAACCCTTAGAGTTTGGGATCTTAAAACAGGAGAATTACAATCTAATCTAATTCATGGACATACAAGCAGGTAAATATTTAAATTTCTGATTAAAATGTCTAGTAAAATATTTTATTCATTTTTTAATAAATAATTTTTTTTTTATTTTTAAAGAGTTTTTAAACTTCAATTCAATACCACTAAAATTATAAGCTGTTCTCAGGATCAAAAAATAATCATATGGGATTTTGCCCATAATGTGGATACAACATTCCTAGTTTATTTAAAAGAAAAAAAAAAAAAAAAAAAAATATTAAGAACCTGAAGAACATTCATTATTTCTTTTATAAGGAAGTAATCATTTATATTAATGAGCAAAAAACACTATTTAAGATTTAATTGTTACAGGGTTTAAAGATTTTAAAATATCAAGAAAAAAAGAATAATAAAAATTTTAGTAATATTGATTGATAGATTCCTTAAATATAAAAATTCGTACGTTCAAATTTTCATTGATAAAACGATAAAAATGATAAGATGATTAAAATGGATAACTGTCGATCACTTAAATAGCCGATCTGGTTTTATTTATTATCAAAACCTCCTAGCAATGTTTGCAAATGTGAATTAAGAATTCCCTTATTTAATTTTAATAAATTATTAATTACTAATTATTAGTTTAGTTTTAGCATTTCTAAAAAAAAAAAAAATTATATTCATACGCATCTTCACTCTATTGTTTCATAATAACAAACTTTTTTTTCCCTTAAAAAAAGAAAGTTATTTAAAAATATTTTTCAGTACGAATTTCACCTAATTTTTCACATTTAGTCCATTTTATTTTCATGTCTTCTAAAATAGTATCTTTTTCAACAAAAACTTGTTTAACCCATTCAGCTAGTTTTTCTTCATCACTAGGTAAATCTTCAATAGAATACTTTCTTACATGTACATGAAAATACCACGGAGGTGTGATAATCGGAAGTGAATGAATTTGTAATAAATTTGGTGGACATTGCAATCCTTTTTTAATATGTCGATATGCGATAGTAAAATCTTTATCACCCAAAATCAAAAATGTGCGGTGAAAATTAATACATAATTAAAAAAAAAAAAAAAGGAATAATTTCAGTAGGAAGGAGTTTTAGATAAATACCATATACGTATTTCACATGAGTATTTCTTAATTGGCGTATACATGCAACGAAACCTTTTGTTCTTGGTAACAAAAGATTTTGTAAAATAGGTAATCCACGTTCTCTAGCAAATGCTTGACTCTTTAATTAAATAATAATAATAGTAATAATTTATTAATTTATACAATACGATCTAATCAAAAAAAAAAAATTTATTTACTTACCTCTTGTAATTTCTTTTGAGTCAATCTAGTTCCTTCGACGAAATTAACTACCCAAATAGGTGCAGCATATCTTTTAATTGTTTTAAATATTTTCCTTAACTGTCCTTCATCCTAACCATAACAAAAAGAAGGTAAGGAATTTGTTAAAAATTTCAATAGAATGATTAATTGATTACTAATATCAACAACTAATGTTATAATTACTTGAGTCCAATTTCTTTTAATGAAAATCATACCCATAAGCTAAATCAAATATTAAAAGAAATAAGTTAATCTCAAAAAAAAATAAATAAATAAATAAATAAATAAAATAAAGAAAAATCAATAATATATTAAATAAAATGGCAACCTACCCACATACCAAATCCAAAGAAAGGAATCTACATCACAAAATCAAAAATAAAAATGTTTAAATATTCAATTCCAAATAAAAATATAAATACATATACATATATTCATATTATACGTACATATTTTAAAGAATCTTTGGAAAAATATTTAACGTGAGGTAACATGTTCCTACGAATAGCAACTGAGTGCAACATGTAAAAATCTGTAAAACTTCTATGATTACTAATTACTACAGCACTTTCGTCTGGTGGAACTTTATCACCTGAAAATGTAATATTTCCTTTATGTTTTTTTTCAAATATATACTAAGTATTTTAATGTAAAAGAAAAAAATTATAGATCTGAAGATAAAAAAATTCAAGTTTTTGAGGACAATAATTAGAATAATATATATAAAAAGAAATTAGGATATTCGTACCTGCATGACCCACCACATGCTTTGAGCAGCCCCTCTAGAATTAATGTCCCATACTAGTCTTCTTGAATACGGTATCAATAACATAGAACATATCTGAACGATATTAATACTAATAGCAAAACTATCAAAATTAAAAGGAACAATCAAAGAACAATTTAACAATTTATTTTCATTTTATTATAAAATACATCTCGGGCAAAAGTAAAAGTTATTCTTATTTAAAAAAAAAAAGTTAAAAAAGTTGTAAAATTTCGAACCTGAATAAAGCCGTACCATAAAATATCGCACGTAAGGTTTGAGTAATGTAATTTAACATTTTTATTATTATTGAGGATCTAAACCTCTCAAACCAAACCAAAATATTTTTTTGATTCGAAAAAAAAGGAACTTTTTTAATTTTACGTACTGCGGATATCTTTAAATGATGTTTATTACTAAAATAGGTAAAATTGTTTTTTGACTACTTGCTTATTAATGGATTTACATTGGGATTTCTAGTATTATTTTTAAATCTGACAGTGACAAATACTGTGAGAATTTATTTCTTGGTAAAATTGTTATTTTACTTTTACTAAAAAGGTAAATTTATTTTTGATTGTTTTTTGTTTCCGGATAAAATACAAATACTCTTTCATATTCTAATACCTACTAGTAAATACATAGAAAATCACTAGTCTGAAAGCAACGTATACCAATTAACCGAAACTTATTTTCATTTGTAAATACATTTACTCACATCGACATTAACTATTTTAACTGGGTCTAATAACTCTAATTCTCTACAGTATCTATCTGTCACGCCCTTGTATGTCATCTCCGAGAGTAATGTTTGGTGGCACAAAACTATTTAAATAATTTAATTTTTATACTTTTTCAGGTAAACGATTGACTAATTATTAAATATAAATATATTTTTAATGTATTTTACAAAAAAAATATTTAATTTTAAATTGAAATAATAATAAAAGTTGATATCGTTCCTACACCTAGTAATGTTTAATCGGTTTGAAAAACAGCGCTCTATTATTTAATAGCGGTAGTAGAATTTTTTTGTCATCATCTTTTCTTTTCTTCTTTGCCATAATATTCGTCTTTGCCGTAATCTTCTTTGTCATTTTGCAGAAACACGTTTAATTATTTCGATTATTTTGGTCAGCTGACTTAACTAAAAAGTGAATAATCAGCCATATGATTATTATAGAATTTTGCAAACTTAAAAAAATGGTAATATATTATTTTATTATTTAATAATTTAATATAAATATTTGGGTATTGCTAAATATCACCAGTACTGATGATAAAATTATGATGTAATGCTAGTCAATATTTATTAGATTTTTAATTCTGGCCAAAAGTACATCATAATGCTGGTACAGTGAACCTGCCATCACTAGTTAAATATTTTAAATAATTTATATAACAATTATTTATATTATATATTACTTATAATATTAAATTTATTTCAATAAAAACATTTATAATAATAATGTCTAATATTTTCTATTAATAAAGTAATTAAAATAAAGTTAAATATATATATTTAAGTAAAATAAATTTATTAACATTTAAATTTAAATTTTAAAAATAAAAACTAGTAATAAATTAATATTAAAAAGTGATTCAGTTTTTAATTACATTTAAATTTATTATATAAAGTTAATAAAATATAAAGCTATAACCTATTTTGCTAATATATCTATTCAAATTAGTTTTATTCTACCAGGTTTACTATTTTTTAAAGATTTGCAAATTTCTATATAATTTTATAGCATATATTATATGTAAAAAAAAATCTAGCCTTGTCTTTTAATTTTGAACTTTAGACATATTTATATCTGAAATCAATTATGATCATATGATGACAAACTTGCAAATCTTTTTTTTAGACATCTTTTTTATTCAATAGGAGATGCTTAGTTAGGATTAATATTAATTCTAATACGTATATATTTATATAGAAAGTATACATAAAACCGAAATTAGGTTAATTTTGACCCTCAAAATGGTCGAAATAGTCGAATTTTAATGTATTAAAATTAAAATTGACTTATTCATACAAATAAAACACTTTTTTATATTTGCGAAACATTTTTTAAGAAAGTTACATATTATGCAATAAATGTTGCCTCTTGCAATACTGTATATGAAATAAAATAACCCTCTCTATATATGTTTTCACGCCTTTACTGCTATACTCTATACTTTATCAGGGAACTTAAGAGCGTAGCTTCAAAGGATAGACTGATTTAGGACTGTGTTCTCAGAATATGCTTCTAATACCTCCTCAAATGGAGCTCCCGGACTTCCCGGTGCTTTGATATTATCACAAGTCAAATAACATTTTTTATTTTCTTGACTATCGATCCACCATTCACAAATCAGATCTTCATGATATTTTTTGCATAAAGGACAGAATTGTGAGCGAAATTTTCTGTAAATGTCTTGAAAATTAACTCTTTGCTTGCGAATTATTTCAAGTCTTCTTCCTCAAGTTCTAAGTCGCAAAAAATCGATAAGCTCCTTCGTTTATATTTTTTAATATCGTCCGCTAGCGTGACCGTCTCATTTCCAGCAACAGAGGTAGAGGTGGAAGCAGGAGTATTAGTTTCAGATATAACATTTTTTATAGGGATATTAGCTCGGATAAAATTATAAAATTATTTCTGTGAAAGGGCTCATGATGGCCTCTGTATCATTACACGTGACTCGCTTCTCGTGTGTATTCGATAAAATAATAATACTTTATTTACGTGCCGAAAGCAACTGATACAAAAATAAATTTGCGAATAGATCGCTTACATGATGTGAATAAAAATACTAATTATTTTTTTGAGGGTGAAGATAATCTTTTAAATCTGTTATAGTTTTTCGAACACCTGTTACCAAAGGTAATGACAGTCAGAACAACGCTCATTAGATTTCAGCTAGAACGTTTATGCAAAGCGCCTGAGACTAAATTAATCACCCACCCAGCTCCTTAATATAATCCTCAAGTTCTAATGCTTGTCTTTAATGTCATTCCGTATTCCCGAATTACCAGTGATTTTTTCTTCCTCAAGCTTCGTAAAAGGTCACCAACTTCTATGCGTTTTTAATTTGGGATCTTCCTGATAAGACTTTCCGTTTCATATTCTTTAATTTATCAACTAGAGTGGAGGTGGAAGACATCTTTTTTTCCTAAATACATGAGCCCATAGTGAGATCGTAAACTAAAACTCGCTCCCATACATATATAACTTCTGGCATACACACATTTGCGTTATTTTTGCAGTAATGTTTTTCGCGGGAAAGTTGGCTGAACTCCTACATGCTTTATATCTTGCTGAAGGAGATAAGAAGAGTGATCAGCTATGGCCGAAAGGTGCTAAAGCAAAAGCACATGAATACGGAAACTTCATACCTCTTCACATGGAGAGAGGTCACAGAGTGACCCAAGTTCTACCAGAAAGACGTAAAGTTGGCGATCTCGGAATTGCGAATTCCTCAGCCCTTCATAACATATGCTTTTGTCGGCATTATTTACTTACCTTCCAGATGTGGGAAAGGTCCTGTGTTGCATGTGAACCTTCTTTCACACTATTCTTCCTCTGGTCATTTGTTTGGGAAAAAATAAAGAACAGAGGTTAATATTCAAAAATTAATATGTCGCACAGATCTGTTTGGTGATCATCTATTTTTTCGCACAATTTGTGGCTCAGCAAAAAAGTCTTGGAGATCAGACTAGTTAGATCGGTAGAGTACATAAAGGGCTGTGTTAATTCCCTACTAAGAAATGCGGAAATAATAATATTCTGAGCACCACCAGCCTGTCTAAGAAAATCATTAAATGCGGTAATAAAATCAGGCACAGTTTCTTAATAAGCATTTCTACCGTTTTATCAAGATCATGAACATGATAAAATCCAGATCTTGCAATATGCCTTTTATTTTCTGGCGTCGGTCCATCAAAGAATTCACTTTCAAGATGTCTTTTACAGAGATTGACAATATCATTACATCTCTTTACCTTTGAATAATAATCCGCTATTGAGTCTTTGCCTTGAAACAATAACCCACACCGTAACTTATCTACATCATCCAATCCTAATCGTCTGTATCAATACCATCCGGCCATATTTCCAATCTAAGTTCCTCAGCACTATATGGCAATTCTATCAAGCTTTAAATTTGCGGAAGATAAAGAGCATTGGATTGAATACAGCCACAGGACTTCAATAACGAAAATGACCAATTTTTTTAACACAATCAAATGAGCCTCTAAATAGATAATCAAACCAAATTCCCAAATAACCAATCATCGAATAATGATGTTGGATTCCTTACACTGGATAGACTATATACAAATTTCTCAAGGGTTTTCTTTCTCCAACGCCTGATTGCCTTTGTCTTCCAATAGATTTTGATGTCGCAAAAAAGTTCCTCCCAGCCAGCTCAATACACCAATCCTCCTCTCTTTGACTGTATTCATTGATAAACTCATTGAAGGTTTCTCCTTTTCAGCATTTATATCCTCGTCAAACATTTTGCTAATAGATTGATTATATAAGAAGAATTTTCAATTGAAAAAGGGGGTTAACAATTGTGCAGATATGCTCGTTTAGGCGCATATGAGTACATGTATGCGGCTCAGCAAAAAATTCTTCTGAGCTGCTTTAGACTGGCATTGATCAGGTTAAAGAATCAATGTATAAATTCGCAGTTCGGATGATATTTTAACACCCCTATCAAATAACAAATCCTGATTATCAATAAATTGTCGATTAATAACATAATCTTTATGCACGGACGTAATATCGATCCCTAATTCTTTTCCCTTTTTTATCAAACTAAACATTCGACCATCTCATCTAACGCTAGTAAATCTAATCCATATATGATGCTTTGCACTCTTTTAGTTTCGAATAAAAGTCTTTTACCATATTATTGCCTTGAACTAATTTCCCAAATTGAAAATCTCTGAGACTAATTCTTTTGGACCATTCAAGATTCACTTCTCTTTCCCATATATCATTTATATTACAACATTTTTTGAGATCCTGAATCAGAAGACTTTAGAATAAATTGTATTAATTTAGATCAAGTAAATTATCTGTATGCATTTTTTATAGTTAGAAGATTTTTCAATCGAATTAGCTATTGCACAGGATGATCACTGCTTCGTAGTAAAATTTAGTAGTTATACATATTGGTAATTTTAGATATTTCGCCATTTTCCACAATTTGTGACTCAAAGGGTTTATAATCGCTATTCTTATGCTGAGGCAATAAAGTCTGAGATCTGGGCACTGGGTTTGGCTCAGATTCAGTGCCAAAGTCTTCTGCCAAATGCTTAATCTAATTATTTTTCAATTTGAAAAAATCTTCCATTTGCTCCCATTTCTTCAATTATATTTCAGGTCAAAAATAGTAAATAGGTAACAATTTATATATAAATAATAATTTATATATAGGTAAATAACAATTTATATATAAGTAGATAATAATTTAACATAATTAGATTGATTTATATATATAATACAATTTAATAAATATTACAATTAATATAATTATATCTTTTATTATAAGTATACTAATTATATTAGTTAAAGTTATTATATTATATAATAATTTTAGAATATATTATTTTTTTCAATTTTAAGAATTGTATATTTATTTTTAATAATATAATAATATAATATTATATTATATAAATAAATTTATAGTAAAAAGTAAATCTAAAATAATAATATAATTTTATATAATTAATTGATTTTTAAATTTGTTTTTATAAATTCTTTAAAAAAAATTTTCAATTAAATTTCATCTTTATTATAAAATTTTTTTTTTTAATAATAATATAATATATATTACTTTTTTTAAAAATTATATAATAATTTTTATTTTAATAAAAATATAATACTTTCAGAATCTAAAGTAAAGAACAATTTAAATCAACTTTAGATAAAGTGAAAGATTTACAAACAAGAAAAGTAGATTGATTACAAAAGTCAATTTTTTTGGTAAAGAAATCAATAGATACCTTCATAAAGAAATACATATATAAGGATTAGCAAAAAATTACTGGATTAATTTAAATTTTTATCTATTCTTAGTTATATTTATTTTTATTTATAATTTTATTTATAATTTTATTTCTATTTATAATTTTATTTTTATTTATAATTTGAGAAATATACTTTATTATTAATTTATTTTTATTATTAATTTTATTTTTATTTTTTTTTTTTATTTTTCCAGTTTATAGTATGTTATGTTAGCTTACTTTTTGTTTATTTTTACTCTTAATTTTATTGCTGATATAATATCTAATGTTTAATTAGACTGGCCTGGAGCTGGAAGTATCACTCATAGAATATTTGTGATTATTATATAATCCAAATATATTCTAATAAGTAGTACATGATTCAATATTAAAAAATAAAAATAAAAATAAAAATATAATACTAATAATATATAATTTTTATTTGAATATTTGTTTGAGATTATATAACTTCTGCTAAGTAATGAATAATACAAATTTATATATATAAGGGTACTACTACTGTCAGATATTACCTAATATTACTCTAATATAAAAGCTTACCCCTCCTCCCTAGGTAAGATATATTATATATATACTTTTCGTCAAAATGCCAAAATACTAATTAAATTTATTTTGACAGACGTAATGTATTTTGACAGACGTAATTAATTCATAGTAATTTTATAATAAATAGTGAATTGGTCTGTTCGTCGAAATATGACGTAATTAATTAGCGGAGAAGTATAATTATATATACAGTATATATATAATTTCTTATATAGTATTATATATAACTTATATATATATATATTTAGTTACCCTTTTTTTTCTAATATATTAGGTAATATCTGACAGTATTTTAAATGCTTTTTATATTTTATATAGTAATAAATTATTTATTTATTTTATTAAATAATTTGTAAAAAAAATATATATAAAAATATTAATTAATTTTATAATTTTATTAAATATTATTCTATAAGTATTATTATTTGGCAACTTCATTACTATAATAATTCCTATTATATAATTTTATAGAATTATTTATTTTAATTATATAATTAAGTTTTTATAATTATAATTGTAATTTTCATTAAATTTTAAATAAAACATATCATGAATTTATTGCTATTCAAATTAATATGATTTAATATTATTAATAAAAAAAAAAAAAAATTTTAAGGATACTTGTAATTATTTAAATTTTAATAAAAAAGGTGTAATTACAATTAAAAATCATAAATTTTAAGATGTAAATTACAATTTTAAAGTAAGTTTACTTATAAGTATCCTTTAAATTTTATGTAATATTATCATTTCAATAGTAAACTTATTTAAAATTGAAAATTGTATTTAAAAATTATAATTTTTAACTTAAATTTTATTGTATTTTAAATGGAAAAATGCAACTATAAGTAATCACAAGTTTTCTTAAAGTTTATTTTTTTTATTATAATAAATTATAATACTAATTTGAAAATAGTAATAAATAAAATCTTTACATTTGGAAATCTTTTACATTATAATTAAAAAAATTCTGAAATCATTAGATTTATTAAAAATTTACTAGAATAAAAATTAAAGTTATTTTTTTAAAAAAAATTATTTAATATATAGTAAATTTATCTATTATCTATTGATTTTTGAACAAAATTATATAATGCTAGCCAAAATTAAAATATATGACATTTTAAAAAAAAAAAAAATGTGAAAAATATATTTTTTATAACAAAAAAATTTTGTTTTCAAAGTGTATATGAAATAAAAAAAAAAGAGGATGTAATGTGGATAATAAAAGAATAGTAATAATATTACATATGTTAAACTAATTTGTATATTTATTATTTGATTTTTTTTAATATAATAGTACTATAAGTAAAAGTTTTTTCTTATATCGACTTCTCAATTGCAAATAAATATTTACAGTTAACTTCCTATAAATATACAAAACATGCTGCAATCATTCACAAAGATTTTCGTAAAACGTGTCATACATGTTTTTGTTTCTATGTACAGTATCTGTTATAACGAAAATTTAAAAACAGACTATTAATTAAGCTAAAAGTTAAAATTAGTCCATACAAAAGAATCATACTGTCACACCATAAACAATCAATAACAGATAATGATATCGTGCTTAAATTACGCGTTTTCTTTGCATTTTTCTTCAACATCTTCAACAGGACGAATATACATCTCTAATAACGCGACTGAATAGAATACAGCAACAAAGGAAACAAGGAAACAAAGGAAACAAAGGAAACAAAGGAAACAAAGGAAAATAATAAAATTGATCAGTTGATTATTTGCTTGCTAAAACAGAAAAGAAGCCCGTTTCCCCGCTCAAATAAAAAATCAGAGAAATATGCGTAATGAAATGAGATTGGTAAATACATAGGTTCCATAACTATTTATTGTATAAAAACTGAGGGTTGCTTTCAATAATAAGAAAAAACATTTATGTTAGAATTCTTAATCGAAAATATGTTCACGTTTTTCTCGTCAAAGAGACCGTTAAAGTTAAGACTGTGATCTCTGAAGTGATACAATAACAGCTTTTGACCCTGTACGACATCCTTTTTGACCCTCCTATATGTAATACAGTATATGCGGGTCAAAAAAATAACACGAGGAGGTAATTTTTGCTCAAATGTAACACATTACTTTACGTGTGACATAATTTTCATATGTATTAAAAAAAAGCGAAACCAACTAATTGATAATGTTAATATTTAGTATAAGACACCAGCTAATTGACAATGTCAGTGTTTAGTATAAGACAAAATGTAAAGCATAACAAATATTTAAAGCGATGCGAGCAATTGATAATTTCACAAATTTTCATATAGAGGAAATGAGGAAATGAACGATAATCTCATTAGTAGAATACCTTTCGTTACATAATTAAATCTTTGAAAATTTAGATGTAAGTATAAGACAATTATCCCAAATATCTAAATAAATACAAATATCAGAAGGTCGGATATTAGTACTTATTTATTATGCTACGTTTTGCTTGCACCGACTACATCGTGTAAAGATCGTAAAAGTGCTCAGAAAGTAAGAGCAAGTTCATTCCTGTTTATAAATACCCTCGACAAATGAGGGGTACAATGTGGTTCAATTCTTATTACTTGTACGTCATGATATTGAATGCTTAAAATATTAAATTAAAAGCAATTAGTCTATTGTCATATTTACTGTCCCAAGCGTCTCAAAGTTTGAATCAAGCGTAAAAGTTTTATTTTTATTCATTTGATCGGAATTTACATTCTGTTTTATTAGCGACAAACAACATGATAATAAAAATGAAGAATAATTTTTTTCTATTTAATACAAAAACGAATTATTATTAACGTAATACCATATTTTATAACGACTCGGCACTTTATGAATTATAAGATATGTAACGGATTTTAAATTTCTTGCCGAAATGATTATTGTCGCTTATGTGAACGGGTTACTCTTTTTCCACGTTGATTAAATCCTACCATTTCAATCTTCAGATTGTTTAACATATGTTCCTTCTTGGCTTTCTTCGGCGCAATATAATCTTGATGAGAAGTGTACTAAGAAAGATATTTATAAACTGAGTTAGCCACAAAAGCTTTATAATTCATGAAAGAAAAAAAAATTCTGTGATATTATACTTCTTTGTCTTGATGAGATTGTTTCATACATCCTCTGCAAATTATTAAATTATCATCAATCCCAACAATAGAAGCAAGATTTTTCGTTATCTTCACGAATGAATTCGTTGTTAATCCTCGCCTTTTGTATATCCTATGTTTTGGATGGTGGCATGTTCTAGTAGTTGGCGAAGTATTGGAGTCACTTTCGCTTGTCAACCCGCCATCAATACTTGCATCAGTCATTTTGACGTCTTCAGACATAACATCATCGCTGCTGATGCTGATAATCGAATTATTTGGAGATGAAGAGATTGAATGAGAACGGGAACGATTTTGCATTTCGTCGTTATTATTGTCGTGAAGATTTGGGGTTTCTTCCATGTCAAATAGGATTTCATGTGGTGCATTTACGATCGGTGGGTCCACGTCAGGAAAATCAAAGCTCATGGTGAGCCTAGGAGATTTGACAGGAAATGCTTTTCCTTTTCTGCGGTTTTCCTCTTTTGCCATATCATAGTTATATAAGATTTGAAAGAATTTTTCAAGAGAATTCATGGTACTTATAAGAAATAAATATCTAGGAATATGATCAGATCAAAAAGTTTAACACAAAATAGTTCAATATAATTATGTACAGTAAACTGTAACTAATGTTTATAGCCCAAAGAACTATAATATAAGGACAAAAGATACTAAGAAAGAAATTTATAAGAAAAAGGCATATACTAAGACAATGAATAACAAAAATTTTTAATTGTTATAATCAAAAATATAATTTTTCAATTACTAGAAAAGGTACAAAAAAGATAACGGGCGAAAAAAGCGTGAGGGTTACAGCAACTACGAGTAATTGCAAAAACAATTAACAGATTCGAATATGTACTGCTTATATATAGTTATTTTCCATATTCCCGTTACACAAGTTGTAATAATAAAGGATCATCAGAAAATATTCCTCAAATTTCATTGACTTTTTTTCGGTTTACCTTTTATAGAAATTGGAAGAGAAAAACGCTACAAGTCTTTGTTACAATGGGAAGGGAAGATGCAATTTTTTTAGAGAAGAGGTAAGAATAATCATTAATATCAAAAGTTAACAAATAATAAAGTTCTTAACTTTAATGTGATGATATTATAAATTTCATATATTATTTCTTTATATTTATACAATTAATACTCTCAATTAACGCTCTACAGTAATAAAATAAGTATAATATGAGTAGATAAAGTTAATAGTTGAGTATCTATTATTGCCTAATTGAAAAAAATAATTTTCTTTACTTATACATCAGTTTATTACCGGAAATTCTTACTTTACCGTTTATTACAATAAATCCAATAGTAAAGAGTGACTATATTACTGAGTGCAATCGCTTAAACTTGAATAAATTTCTGCTGTGCTTTTTTTTATTGAACACATTTATGAAATGGTTAAAATGATATAATTTTAATAAAGAAACATTTAACGCCGTGACCATACACTGAAAATTATATTGTTTTCACGCAATATTCTCTTTTAGCGTACATTCGCGCTTCAATACAAATTTTATGCCACTACACTGCTCAAGAAGTATACCAACGCGTAGAGGTGGCAACATTTCTGGCTAGACTGGAAACGTTGGGTGAAGAGAAGTATAAGTAAGCGTGTTTCAACAGACTAAAATGCTTACTAGGAAAAATGAATTTGGATGAATGTAGTGGACAAAGACAAGAGTCGAGGTCATAATGAGAGAAATTCTAAGTAGAACTAAGAGAATCCGTGGATAAACAATCAAGGTAAAACTTTCGATTGCGTGTAAATATTTGACAACATATTATGAAAATAAAGCAACTACTAATTGAATTACGGACACACTTTTAGATTATAGCACAGGTATCTTCTTTTTCTTATTTTCACACTTATTGTCGTTCATAGAACTGAGGGAAGCATGCAAAAGATGAAAGTTTCCTAAGAAGCTTTGGCTCCCTGAGATTGAAAATGTATCAGTTGATATGTCAATAATCTCTAGCGAATTATTACCACTGAGAGATTTTACTGTGCTAAGAGAAATTGTTCGTTTTACTAAGAGAACAATTATAAGATAAAGTAATAATTAAGGAAACATATAAAATAAAACATTAGAATTCCAACTAGACCCTTGTAAAACTGGTAAAAAAAAGGAGTAATAAAAGGAATATATGAAATGAACCTTATTTTATTGTGTACAATTATAATCTTTATATAATATTTTTCCGGTTTTTAATTTTTTAGAAAAATTACATAGCTTTTACAATAAATCGAATAATCAGATAGCCCAAATTGAATTTTGAAACTAAATCTTTACTCATATTTTTTTGTTCTTCATCAAGTTACTATGAGACTTATGATTTTATAACGCTATATTATTATTATTGTTGTTATGTTACTATTAATATATGTCAATTGTATGTCGATAATAGTGTTATCAAAAATACTCAATGCATTCGTTCATATTCTTCTCCATTACATTCGAAGCAATTTCATCCGATTGTCGTGAATTTTGTTAATAAAAACGGCCATCATGCGTAAATTTCAAATCCAATAATTCCGATTGAATCTGAATTTAGACTTTGTTAATATGTTTCTATTGCTTTACGCACTATAATCGTATTGGTTTCTAAAATATTAATATTAATATATTTAACTGTTAAGGTTATTCTTCATCCATTTCATTCATAAAAATTTTTGCGCCGTATAAATAAACGCAGTAATATAGATAACGTCTTCTAATAAGCACCGTTTTTGCCAATTTCAACTGCCATTATATTGAGTACTTTCAGTAATAGAGAAGAAACGATCAAAAAACAAGCCTATCCACCGAATATGTTTGTCGAATTAAATAAGCTCAGATTTTAACGTTAATTTGAAATTTTTTTCATATTACTGTAAAGGGTTCAATTCATTATCTGATACCGTCATAGATGCAAAGGTTGGATTTGTACTACCGGCAGAATCCTTTATCCATAGATATATCATTGATCATCAGGATTCATGTTTATATCACGAGGACATCTTGAATGAATTTTTTTATTAATAATCCGTAAAAATATCAATAAAAAAAAAATCATGGATGACTATTAGAAACCGTGGTATAAAAGTAATAGTTATTTCACGGGAAGACGTAAATATCATTGATCATCATGACTCCGCCATGATAGATCGAGGCTGAGCTATCGCCCCGTAATACTACCGCTTATGAACATCACTTATAAAAATATCAATACGAAATTGTAAATTCTTTATATTATTTTAATATTAATCATAATTTGTACATCGGTATATTGTTATGTTGTGGCAAAAGAAAATTTTTATATTAAAAGTGATTTTGTAATTTTGTAATTTCTTGTAAATTTATCAATCAGATGATCTAGTTAATAATTTGTTTTTTTTATTTATCCTCATAGAAATCGAGTTTAATAATTTGTATAATTAATTTTTATTATCTTAAAAAGAATTTTATTAAATTATTTATCACAAAGTTTGGTTATTATTTTTTAATAAAATATAAAATTTCTTTATAAGTCCAGACCAATTAAATAAACATATAAAGTATGTTAAATTAAATAAATAAAGGGAAATAACTTGAAACTTTTAAATAATCAAATGATTTTACAATTTTATCAATCAAATATATATTTAAAGATTATTTTAAAAGATATGAAAATAATAAATTTTAATTGAAAATTTAATTTATAGTATAGAAAGATTGTATTTTTATTATTTTATTAATAATAAATATTTAATATTGATATGCAATAGTTTATTAGAAATAAATAAGAATTAATAATAAAAAAACAGAAACTATACTTTTTTTTTATAGAAAATTAAATTATAAAAAATAAACCCATATATAAACTATAATATTAAATTATTTTTATTTTATTTTTTTTTTATTTTAAAGAAAATAAATAATAAAATAAAACTTACTTTATAATTATTATAATAATTTATTAAAATTTTATTTAGAAAATTAATAAAAAATTAACAAGTTTTTTTAAAATTTATATAAATGCTAATATTTTATTTAATAAAATATAATAGATTTCTAAATAATTTATATAAAAAATTATAAAAATGATTTGGATATTTGGTATATATTATTTTTTTTTATTAATTCAATTTTTTATATATTATTTAAAATTATTATTTCTATTATATAATTATTAAAATTATCATAATATATACTTTAATTCTTAAATAATAAATTTTTATAATATTAAATAATTTTAAAAAATGCTATCCCTTAAACTGTAGAGGTTAAAATTAATTTTAAAAATTTTTGAATTTTTAAAATATCTTAAGATCTAGTGATTATAGAAAGATGAAATTATATTTGTTAGATTCCTCTTATTAAGGCACAATAAAATTATAACTCTAAAATTGATAAATAAAAAGTTATATTGATTTATAAATTTTTAGATTTTATAAGTTATTCTGTCATATAATATTCGTAGAAGGACAATTTTATTTCTATCAGATTCTTCTCATTAAGATGCATCAAATGGTGGTAATTTTATATTTCTAGGGTTAATGAATAAAAAGATATTTCAATTTGAAAAATTTAGCTACTATTTGTTATAATTTGTCAATCATTTACTTTTAAAAAATCATTAATCAAATTGAAATTTTTTTTTCGATTTTTACTTAAAAATACTATAGAATTTAT